GTTCGTTTGGTGTACAATGTATTCCATGAGTGGTTCATCATAGAATGCTGTAAAATATTCCATCTCAGCCATGTCCTCACCTTGATTAGGGAAAAGGTTTGTAATCCCTACATCTTTATCGTCAAAGTGAGGAATATTAGGAATAAAATCGTCACCATCACTCCACTCAAGTACACCAGGCGTCCTGCGAGACGCAGAGGAAAGACGGCGAGGAAGCGATGCATACCGGCGACCAGGAGCTGAATACCGTCTGCGAGAAGCACGGTGGCTACGTGCACGTGAGGTGGGTGCACGTGAGGTGGGTGCACGTGAGGTGGATGCACTTGAGGTGGATGCACTTGAGGTGGATGCACGTGAGGTGGATGCACGTGAGGTGGATGCACGTGAGGTGGATGCACGTGAGGTGGATGCACGTGAGGTGGATGCATGTGAGGTGGATGCACGTGAACACAAGGGTCTTGGTCCCTCATGTGGTGCCATGCGGTGGCGCTTGGCTGGGCGAGATGCTGCTGACACGACAATTTCTCGCCCAGTTACACCACTGGTACCTGCCACAGGCTCAATAAAACTTTGATCTGAGTCACTAAACCCAGAAAAGGAGTCACCTCCCTCTGACTCGTCACCCTCAAACTGAAAATATCCACAGGAACTGTGAGGTCGTGGTAGAATTGGGGTAGAAAATGGGCGAGGAGGCATGGGAGAGCGTATAGGCCTCGCCATGGCATGGCGGTCATTCTCACTTTCACTGCTGCTGCTACTATCACCCGACAACTGTGTATAATCCTCATCGTTGTCTGAATCGTCAAACACACTTTCTTCACCTTCAGAGAATAATTCGTGGGCTATTTGCTCTGGGGTGAGGGACTGAGTGGTGCGTGCCCGTGAGGCGTTTGACCGTGCGCTCGCCATGGTGACTCTCGCTAAACTGAGGCCTCCCATGCCATCGGAGCGTGAGCTGGATTTTTTTTCAAAATGGCCGCTGTTTACTAGAGCCCCTGGGCAGCGTATGGGACCCCCAGCTACACCGCGGGCCATTCAAATCGTGCGCGGTACCCATACACTTCATATGAAGTGAAGCGCAGTTGACTGGTAAAACGATTTACACTTCATATGAAGTGATGCGCACTTTAAGGGTTAAACAAACTTGGAGCACAATTTCACAAATATTGGGATCAAAGAAATCTTTAAATAACAAACCGACTCTCCTGTCTAATAACGATGGTCAGCTTTCAGCCTCTGATTCTGCTATTGAGTTTAATAGGTTCTTCTCTTCCATTGGTTCATCCCTTGCAAATGATATTCCATCTTCCAGTACTGATATTAAGGACTATCTTACAGGTAACTATCCACAGTCTCTGTACCTAAAGCCTATTAACTCCACTGACGTCAATGAGATAATCCTTTCCCTTAAAACCAAGTCTGGTGCCCTTGAGGAGATACCAACTTTAATTTACAAAAAAGCCTCCAGATCTTTAGCCCCTGCTATTGCTTTGCTCTTCAACAAGTCACTTGAACTCCAAACCTTTCCAGATATTCTAAAAAAAGCGAGAGTAACGCCTGTCCACAAATGTGGTGACCCCACAGATGTTAACAACTACAGACCTATATCAATCCTGCCAAACTTGTCAAAAATTTTTGAAAAACTTATATACAAGCAGCTTTACTCATATCTTGCCAAACTCAATATACTTAGCCCTTGCCAATATGGCTTCAGACCCAAAAAAAGCACTAACGATGCACTTATTAGTATGCTTAACTCGATTCATACAGCTCTTGATAAAAGGAGTTCCCTGTTGGGTTATTTGTGGACCTGCGTAAAGCTTTTGATACTGTCAACCACCATAACCTTCTTCTTAAATTACATCATTATGGAGTCAGAGGACACTCCCTACAATACCTCGAGTCCTACCTTACTGACAGGCTCCAATATGTTTCTGTGAATAATACAATTTCTCCCACCCTACCCATCAACATTGGTGTTCCTCAGGGCAGCATACTTGGCCCTCTCCTCTTTCTCATCTACATTAATGACCTTCCAAATGCCTCCCAACACCTCAAACCAATTCTATTTGCTGACGACACAACCTTCATTTACTCCAGTCCTGACCCTCTTGCTCTAAATGCCACAGTAAATACTGAGCTAAATAAAGTCCATCTTTGGCTAACTGCCAACAAACTCACCCTTAACATTGACAAAACCTTCTATATTCTGTTTGGCAATAAATCCTCTAGTCTTATAAATCTCAAAATAAACAATACCCAAATTTGTAACAAATTAGATGGCAAATTCCTTGGCATTCTCATTGACCACAAGCTGAATTTCCAGGGACACATTCTAAATATATCAAAAAAAGTTTCAAAAACTGTGGGCATTCTTTCTAAGATCAGATATTATGTACCACGCCCTGCCCTGGTGACTCTCTATTACTCCCTTATCTATCCTTATCTCAACTATGGTATTTGTGCTTGGGGTTCTACTACCCAAAATCACTTACGTCCTCTAATTACCCAACACAAAGCCGCTATTAGAACAATATCCAACTCTGGCCCCAGACATCACTCGGTACCCCTACTCAAATCTCTTAATATGTTAGATATTAAGTCACTGCACATTCTCTCATGTGTATTATACATATATAAAACGCTAAACTATAATGCCAATCCTGATCTTAAAAGCTTCATAGAAGGTTGTAACAGAACCCATGAGCACCACACCAGAAATAAATACAGTTTTGATATTCCTAGAATACGTCTTAATCAAACTAGAAATGCTCTGCAAATCAAGGGGCCCAGAATGTGGAATGACCTTCCCAACCATGTTAAAGACTGTACCTCTCTCAACCAGTTTAAGATAAAAACTAAACACTACCTAATAAATTCCCTGTAATCTACCTACCTCCTCTATTGTCAACCCATGTCTGTTATTTTCTTTTTTTTTTTTTTTTTTTAATCAACACTGTTTGTCAACCTATTGTATTTGTGCTGCTTTTTCAGTCATGTTCCCCCTTTTTTTTATCTTTATTTGTATTTGTTCTCAACATCTTTTATTCTTTATGCTCAATTAGTATTAAGTTCTAGATATTAATGTTTTCTTGCCCGAAACGCATTGCGTAATAGTGGCTTTAGGCATTGTATGTACTAGCTCTATCTATAAATCAATCCATTAATGTAACATCACTTGTATGTATATACCTTACCTGAATAAACATCTGAATCTGAATCTGAATCTGAATCTGAATTATTATTATGATTATATTATTATTATTATTATTATTATTATTATTATTACAGGTATTATTATTATTATTATTATTAATATACCGAGGACCACGACCCAGAAACTGTCCCCCCTTAGAGAGGCTTGAGGAACAATGGCCTATAGAAACTCACATGGGGTTGGAAGCAGTCTATGTCTGCCATCTACCGGGTTAGGCACCCAGAAAGGTAGATGTCTCAAAACAAACTCCACCTGGTTAAAACTGCTACCAAAAACCGAACTATCAAGCATAACTTCACAACCTGAAAATAAGCAAACAAGCATGACGTCACAGCCGCCACCGCGCTACTGTCTGTACAGCTCTCCCCTCCCCGGGAGGGGGAAGGGGGAGCCCCAGACCCCTCGCATCGACCATCCAATCCCAGTTCAGGAGCTGTCCTGGTCGTTGCACCGGGTGCTCTCTTCTCCCTTCTCAGTTTGGGGTGGCTCCCCCCCCCCCTTGGTTCAGGGCTGTTTTTATACAGCTCTTTTCTTGTTGGCATTGGCCTCTGGGGGTCAGGTCAGAGAGTTTCATGTTCTCCTCTGGCACAGAGGTTTCTGCTCTTTCGGTCCTGGTGGTCTTTTCTTAGTTTGCAGCCGTCTCCTCCTTTTCTGGTGAAGAATGAGTCTGCTGCTTTCCAAAGGGGTCCTTGGGTTGTTGATGCTTGGTTGGTTCGGCCGGGGGTGCATCATGTTTTGTGTGTGTTTGTGGCTCTTCGTCGTTATTTGCGCATTACAGTATCTGTGGCAGAGGACGTGCTTTGGGTTGACCCAGTTTTCCTTCTTCCCTATTCCATGGCGCGGGTATCCCAGGTTGTCCGCAGGATTAATTGGTCCAACCAGCCCTGCGGTCTTTCCCCATGCCCGCGCCGTTCGTAAGTTTGGCATTTGCCTGCTGATTTGGTAATGTCCTGGTCTATCTTTTGGGAATGGGGCTATTGGAGGTCGAACAGGGTCCTGGCTGCACATTATCTTGTTAATGTTCCTAGCCCTTATCGGGCGTGTATAGCCTTGGGTCGCAGGTTGCGGCCTGTTGTCTCGACTTTGAGTTGAGGAGCGAGTGACGACCACCTCCCAGGTGAGCCCCTTTTCTTCTTATCTTTGATTAGGTAGCTCCAGGGAGCTGAAGGGGCTCTCCACAGAAAATCAGCTTTGAATGTAATGAAACGCTATTTTCTGGGTGAGACCCGGAGGCTCCCTGGCATCCCTCCCTCCCTCCGGTTGGCAGTTTTTTGCGTTTTTTGATACTCAGCCTCTGAACTGAGGAGAGTTGCTGGCGTGGGGGTCTGGGACCTCCCTGTCCCCCTCCCAGGGAGGGGGTGATTGCGCAGACAGATGCGTGGCAGTTGTGGTGATGTTATGTTTGTTTCCTTGTTTTTGATTTGGGAGTTTTGTTTGCTAGTTCGGCTTTCAGTTTGCAATTTTTGACCAGCAGTAGTTTGTTTAGAAATTCCTATCTTTCTGGGTGCCTGACCTGGTAGATGGCAGACAAAGACTGCTTCCAATGACACAGGGGTGTGTTTAGGCCATTGCTCCCTGTGCCTCTCTTGAGGGGGCCAGGTTCTGGCTCTGGTCCCCGGTAGGCTTAAAACTCCCTCGATTGACTGTTGCCACGGTCTAATATATATACATCAGCCCGGTATAGCTCCAAGGAGCCGAAGGGGCTCTCCACAGAAAGAGGCATTTCATTACATTCAACACTGGTTATATTTAACTTATGCTAGAAAAAATGAACTGTACTTACAAGTTCGTCTTTTATTCTGAATATCCCTGATGAGTGCTATCACATGGTCTCCATGACTACCAGATTGATGGCTCCTGCAGTACGGCCAGGGCGCTATCAATATTGTGGATACATTAGAGAAGGTCATCAGAGATGTGTCTTGATCATTGATCACTAAGTGATCTGACCTTTTGAGATTTACAAGGCCAAGGCTGAAAAAAGAATGAAAACAGTTTTGAGATACAAGATTAAGGATATGACAAATTAAACAAATTTGTTAAAACAATAACCTAGTCAATTGCATACAATACAATACAATACAATACAATTTTATTTAGGTAAGGTACATACATACAATAAATATTTACAAGGATTGTTTAACTTATAGGTATAGCTAGTACATACAATGCCTAAAGCCACTATTACGCAAAGCGTTTCGGGCATGAAAATGTGGCAAAATGTTTTGAGATAAGAGATCAGTCCTTTGATTTCTATAAAATTTGCCTCCAGCTGTCACAACTACTCATGTTCCTACAAACACAAATATGGATATTAACTTAAACACGAGTGTACGCTAATGTCAGTGTAAGACTGGGCCCGAGTCTTGTTAGATGTGGAATGAGTTTAATGGGGTTTAAGTGAGACCTATAATGTAGATTTTTAAGTGAGACACATAATGTAGATTCATGTCATGTTAACTTATAGGGGCCTGACGTCTGAGTGGACAGCACTCGGGGTTCATAGTCCTAAGGGTCTAGGTTTGATCCCCGGCAGAGGTAGAAACAAATGGGCAGAGTTTCTTTCACCCTGATGGCCCTCTTCACCTAGCAGTAAATAGGTACCTGGGAGTTAAACAGCTGCCACAGGCTGCTTCCTGGGGATGTGTGTTTGTGAAAATTAGGATTAAGAAGTTACCTGAAATGTTATGCATGCTAGTGGCTTCATAGAATGTATGAGCTCATACATTTCATACAAGAATGTAAGAACTCATGAATATACTGTATAAATAAATATATAAATAAATAAATAAATAAATAAATAACAAATAAACATCCCACCACAGTTTTAGCAGATGGTAGTCTCTTGTCAAGGGCAGATATTAGCAGATGTTGTCCAGTGTTAGTATATCACCTGTTTTGCTCTGTTACACAAAAGTCTAGTGAAGATAAAAAACAGCAATGAATGTAATGAAACGCCACGTCCGGGTGAGCCCCAGAGGCTCCCTGGAGCTATAGGACTGATATGCGCTACATTAGTCTGGGGCTTCAGTCAATGGAGTCTTGCCTACTGGAGACCAGAGCCGGAACCTGGCCCCCTCAGAGAGGCACAGGTAGCAATAGCTTAAGGAGACCCCCCCCCCCCTTGTATTTGTGGGTGTTCCTTGTCTGCCATCGACCTGGGTTAATCACCCAAAAAGGTAGGCATCTCAAAACAAACCCCACAAATTGTAAAATTGTAAAAAACCCAAACCGAACAGAGAAATAGAACTACCCCGCCCCTCAAAAAGGAAACTAGCAAACAAACAACTGTCATTCACTGCCCACGCACAGCTTGTCCATGCAGTGAAAGCTACGCAGAGAAAGCTAAACCACCGCAAACTCCTGCACCATGCTGTGAGCCCAACAGAATGACTGACCCCACCGCCGCTAGCTGGCCTGGTGAGCATTGGTCACAAAGCCCCAGCCGAGAGATGAGGCATCCATAAACACATCGAGTGAGGGATCGGGGAGGCACCAAGGCACCGAACCCCCCAAAACCCGAAGAGGATGCCAGAGACGCAGCAGCCGACGCAAAGCCCCTGGGGGGCGAACCAACAGTCACGAGAAAGGTGGAAGGGAATGACCCTGAAGGAACCAGAACGAAAACCCTTAACCTTGCAATAACAACCCATGTCCCAAAGGCATCAAAGACCAGGCAGGGTCAAACGGGGCCCAAGCTGACTTTCCCATGCCCCGGGAAACCCCAACACAGGCTCCGGGGCAGAACCCACATCCACACCTACTATCCTGGAAGACAAGGCAGAGTCCAAGGGAAAAGCCTCAAAGAAAGGGGGTCTGTTGGCAGGACCCAGAAGCCTCAGGGGTAAGGTAAGTCCCAGAAAATGCCCAAGTTTCGTCCCAAGCTAAACTCAGCCCCAACTCCGAAACCCTCAGACGTTTGGGAGCCGGAAACAGGAAAGGGGGGTGGAAGGAGCAGGGCAAACCATGCCCATTGGGAAAGGAATCGGGGGAGTGGGTAAAACCAAGTTTGAAGTGACCAACTCCTCCAATTCCCCGGGTCCCTACAACAAAAATGGGACAGCTTCAGAGGATCCGAGCGGGCAACAAACCAGGTGCGTTACAACAATAAAAACTTACCATGCCACTGCCCGAACCCTAAGGTCTTCCGAAGAAGAATAGGTAAGGTGAAAGACGATCGGGGAACAAATCCCACATGACTCCGGGTCGTCGGTGCCCCAAACCTAACAAGCAAAATGACAGAGACAGAACAGATGATCATCACCCTGAGACAAGGCCAACGAACAACCTTCAAACTTGCACAATGCGAGTGGGGACTCAGAAGATGTATGTCTTTTGTGCTAGAAAAAATGTAGCCCCAAGGGGTTTGCCAAGCCTCGCAGGAAAAGTAATCCCGATAGGAAGCCTGGCACAGATGTAGCTAAGCGGGTTGAACCCCATCTAATACTGGGCAAATTGACTCCAGGAAGTCGTGCGTGCAACTTCGATGGGCCCAAAGGAGGAGCACCAAACACAACCTAAGCTAATCTAATTTTAAGCTAGGAACACCTCCAGAAAATAAAAATAAAACTTTAAACCCTCAAAAATACATCACAAACAACTAGAGGCTAGAGAGAGACACGATCACCGCGATTATGCTAGCTGTGCAAAACACCACGAGCCCCAGCCAATGACAACATTACTCCCTACTCAGTTGAGTAGGGCTAGATAGAGAGCCTATGAACCTGCTGAACCCCAAGGGCGAGGTTAATGACAAGCGACACCAACCTCAATGGGAGTGCGATCCCGAATGTCCCTGGGAAGAAAACCCTGAACACACAAAGGCAGTACCTACAGGGCACCCAGGAAAGGTAACCCTAGATTCATGTAGCCTGAGTACTTCTTGGAACACCTGGCCACTGCACAATAGACACACAGCCAGCACAACTGCACAGGGTAAAATCCAGCAAGAGAATGAGGCCAGAGGTAACATCAGCTCCAAATGGCACCAGTTGACGAACTGCCGGTGTTAGCACTCGGCTCCGCCTGGGCGGGGGCCCCCTCCCCCAAGCAAGCGGGGAGGGGGGGTGTCGCCAACAAGCGAGTGATCTGGTTGAGTGGACATTTGCTTGTTTGTTGTTTTCTTTTGTGGGGAGTTCTTAACCTCAGTTTGGTCATGGTTGCAATGTTTTTCCAGTTGGGGCTTGCAATGGTTCTCCTACCTTTCTGGGTAATTCCCCCGGTCAATGGCAGACATGACTATATTCTCAAACAGTGGAGTGTTCATAAGCCATTGCTTCCTTCGCCTCTCTGAAGAAACCAGGTTCTGTCTTGTGGCTTTCGGTAGGCATACGGACTCCAGTAACTGACGCTCTTGACTTGACAGTAATATGGCTGATATTTATTTATTTATTTATATATACATGAGTTCTTACATTCTTGTACAGCCACTAGCACGCATAGAGTTTCAGGCTATGTTAATTAATCCTAATTTTCACACATACACACACACATCTCCAAGAAGCAGCCTGTAGCAGCTGTCTAACTCCCAGGTACCTATTTACTGCTATATCAGTCCTATAGCTGCAGGAAGCCGGCGGGGCTCACCCCATAAAACATACTGTTTCTGGGGGGAGCCCCGTCGGCTCCCTAGAGCTATCCAGGCTGAATGGATATGTATATCTTTATGGCATCAGTCACTGCATGGAGTTCTTGCCTACCGGGGACCACGGACCACAACATGATGATATCATCATGTTGGTGCGGCAACATGATGACGTCATGTTAGTTTACTAATTTTTGTTTGGAGAGTTCTGTCCACTTGATCGGTTTTCAGTCGCAATAGTTTTACCAGAATAGGGGTTTGTTTTGGGACGCCTACCTTTCTGGGTGCCTGTCCCGGTCGATGGCAGACATAGAATGCTCCTAACCACAGGGGGGGTCTCTATAGGCCATTGCTCCTCGTGCCTCTTTAGAGGGGGGCCAGGTTCTGGCTTGTAGTTCCCGGTAGGCAAGATCTCCATGCATTGACTGATGCCAGAAAGATATACATATCCATTTAGCCTGGATAGCTCCAGGGAGCTTCCAGGACTCATCCTGAAAATGGTGTTTCATTACATTCAATGCTGGTTTTTTGCTGTTATTACACTATATACACATATATAACTATATTTTCATGCACTATTACGAACCACTACGCAGTTCTGATGGGGGTAATAATCTTGTAACACGTTATCAGAGTTCAGCCTAGTTCCTCATGTTTTGCATGAAATTATAACAGCACACATTGAATATATTATATTTTCTTTATATTTCTAATGTTTTTTGGCATTGATTTTTCAGTTACAGTGATGCATTGGACTGTCAATAATGTTATTTGAATTACAGATCTTGTAGAACATGGGTGTACACAGATATATTTGTGTTACTAATATGCTGCCCGAAATGCTTTGCGTAATAGTGGCATTAGGCATTGTATGTACGTACTAGCTCTATCTATAAATCTATCATTTTTTTTATCACCTCTTGTATGTATGTACTTTACCTGAATAAACATTTGAACATTTGAATTTGAATGCATACAATATTATATTCTTTGAACAATAAAGCATACAGTTTTTGCTGTTATTATACTATATGCACACATTATACACAACTACATTTTATGCACTATAATGAATCACTAAGTAGGCCTGGTGAGTGTGGTAATGAACTCAAGGCACAGCATAGAGCCAAACAATACCAGCAGACAATGCCACCTGATGCAAATAGATGCCTCCAATATAGTACACATACATCACTAACTCTAGCCACAACACTGCTATTATTATAAGAGTCTTGGCACTAAATCATGAATATAAATAATTTTCCACACGTTATAATTTCCTAAAGGAACACGAGGTCTAGTCTTATGATGCGTTGACGCACGAAACTACAACTGTGTGCTATGAATGTCTGCCTCCTGCTGTGAACATCGTCACTATCATTGTGTTCACTGATATCTGAACTTTGTACATAATCTTACATGTACAAGGTTATTATTAGTACATAGTCATAGTACATAAACATAGCAAGTATCTTCTATGATACTATCAATACAAAATGATCATATGCATTTATATATTTTGTCACTATTAAGTGATGGTGTGGGCACAAGGTGTATGGCAATGCTTGCGAGCTGCTGCAGCATGTGCTACCCATGGTTGCCCTCTCAATAATGAGGCCCTCACTTCCAAGAGTGGAGCATATCATTTTCTTCAAGATGGCACCTGTTTACCTAAGGAAGCAAATGTGAGCCCAGTGTACAGATGGGACTTTTAAATCCTCTGTGATACTTTAAATCATCTCTCATTGACTTGTACAGGACAGTAGTCTCAGATATGGCATGGTTGTCTCTGTTTGACATGTGCATTTGAAGGGTTAAGCTAGCATTCTGAAACTCAGAAATGCAGATGATGATGATGACTGAGCTGGCTAGGCTGCTAAACACCACAGATTTATGTAAAGAATCAGCCTTCAGTGAGACTCTTTAATCAGTTAATTGTAGATGTGCTGCTTTTTCAGCCATGTTCCCCCCTTCTTTATCTCTTTTTTTATTTGTTCTCAACTCATTTTATTCTTTATGCTCAATTAGTATTAAGCTTTAGTCATTTAAGTTTTTCATGCCCGAAACGCTTTGCGTAATAGTGGCTTTAGGCATTGTATGTACTAGCCCTATCTATAAATCCATCACTCTTTGTAAAATCTCTTGTATGTATGTACCTTACCTAAATAAACATTTGATTTGATTTGAGTCAACAATCATGATGCTACTAGGCCAATAACAAGTCCAACACTTGAATATGCTGCAGCTGTAAAGCTTGGGGGGCCATGTAATCTGGCTCTCCATTGTTATTGCATTACCACCAAGAATGAAAATGAGGGAGGACTCTTTTTAGACTTACTCATCAAAAGACTCCTATAACAATGGCCAACATTGATTTAGAGAATCGGGGGACTTGAAGAACTGGCAACTCATACAGTGCTCAGACAAGCGAAGGACTAAGGATTGTTGATGGGGCAGCCAGCAGCTGCTGTGATGCTGTCACCTGATGGTGGTCAGCTGTTATTTGGGAATGAATAATCTAGCTATTGGAGAGATTGTTAGCTGAGCCATTTGCTGCAGGTTTTGCTAACTTTTTGCAAATCTTGTAATTGTCTGTTTTGCTTCACTTCCTTTTAGAAGTTTGAATTCTTCAGTGAGGGATGATCATGAATCCCCTGCTCCCTGTGCCTCTGTGAGGGGGAACTAAGATCAGTCTCCGTGGTGTAGTGGTAAGACACTCGCCTGGTGTTCCGCGAACGCTATGTCATGGGTTCGTATCCTGGCCGGGGAGGATTTACTGGGCGCAATTCCTTAACTGTAGCCTCTGTTTAACGCAACAGTAAAATGTGTACTTGGATGAAAAAACGATTCTTCGCGGCAGGGGATCGTATTCCAGGGACCTGCCCGAAACGCTACGCGTACTAGTGGCTGTACAAGAATGTAACAACTCTTGTATATATCTCAAAAAAAAAAAAAGATTTTGGTCTCTGGTAGGTTTTTTGAGGACTCACAAGACCTGATGTGACTTATAGGTGTAGAGCTTTCTCAGTGTGGTTAGCTACAGCGAGCCACTGTTCAGCCCCTCCACAAACCCTGGTTAGCCTTTGAAAAGAAATATAAAGCTATGGCACATTCAATTGTGGGTGGTATAAACACAATATGAAAGAGAGGAAACTAAATCAATAATAAAGCTATGGCCATAGCAAAACTAATATTCTAAGAATAGCCAACACCACTTAGTTGAAAGCATATAGCTATAGGATGGGCCCTGTCGGACTTTCAGTCACCTGTGACCAGGCGAGTGAGTGACGAGGCAGGCTGGCTGGAGTCCAGAGTGACCTGGGCAGCCACCTAATGGCACTTCAAGCACCTCACAGTTAGGACATTAACCAAATGGCACTAATCATTTGCAGTACCTAATTTTTCAGAAGCAGTTGTTTTTTGTTGTGCTTATGCTTTCTGGTGAGTTGTGTGTCTTCAAATGAGCGTGCGGATGCTGCCGCTAAGGAAGCTATCTGCACTTCTCCCATCTCCTGTAAAGGTGTTCCTTATTCGTACTTTTACTCATTTATTCATTCCTTGATCCTTGCCCATTGGCGCGGTTGTTGGTCTTCTGTTACTGGTAACAAACTACGTACTTTTAGGAGTAGTGTGTTCCTGTGGCCTTCCTCCTACCACCGTAACCGATGGTGGGAAATGGCTCTGGCAAGGTTACGTATTGGCCATACACGCTTAACTCATGGACACTTAATGGAGCGCCGCCCTGCTCCTTATTGTCCAAACTGCACTGTCCCTCTTACAGTCGTGCATATCCTTGTTGAATGTCCTGACTTCCAGGACGAGCGTGTGTCTTGCTTTCCGACCGTCCCTCGCAGTCTCTTGTCCCTCGATAGAATTCTTGGTGATTCGGATACTTTTGATATCGTTCGCCTTATGCATTCCTGTTCTCATATTAGCATCCTTAGTGATATTTAGCGCCCTTTGATTATTACGCACATTTGATGGTGATACACAGCCCTCCCGGCTTGGTGCCTTCTTTTGATAATTACTTACTTTCTCAGTTTTGGGTTCATCTTTGATCCCCGGGTTCCCTTTACTTCCCAAAGCCAGAATCTGTTCTTGGCTTCTGGCAAGTAGGATGGATCTCAGAGGCCTAGTGCATCTTTCTAAAATATGGCTCTAGCAGCACTTAGTTCGAGGAGCTACTAAGGAGGCCCTCCTAGAAATGACTTTGAAAACATCTTACCTATAGGATGAATTAGGTACAGAAGAGTATGAGAACTGTATGCCATCATACAGCACACGGTGAGCCTCATCAACGCTAATTTTACCCAAAACTTGAACATTATGATTCTTGCCCTTTATCATATCGTTACGGATTACATTTGTCTGGTGAATATCTTCTTCAACATCCAGCAAATCTATGTGGGGAGGACCCTGGAGGAAAAAGAAAGTAACATTGCTGAGCTGTTCCACTCTTCCTAAGACAAGGCAACACTAGGTCTCATTGGAGCAGTTCATAACATAACAGAGGGTGACATTCTGCACTGCCACAACAGGGAGTTTATCAACTAACCCAATTAGGTCATATGGATGCTAGGGAAGCATTAGCAAAGCACTAGGAAGCACTATGCTCAGTCCAACTAGAAAGCACTTGGCTCAGTCTAACTGCAGAGCAACTAAGGAAAGTTCACTCATAAACATTTAAGCATTTTGAAAACTTGCTTGTCATCACAAGGCTCACTAAATAGCACTCTCATAAACCACAGGATTGCTTACCTGACCACTAACCTTGACTGCCACTAGATAGCAGCACCCAGGTCAATGCATGGTCCCATGCCTTGTATCCCCTCACATTCTCAGTCTAGGAGAATGGTTTGTGAAGTAAATGGACAGGCTGGAAACTGGATTCAGTTAAGTGGTTTGTTTTCATCCTTAGAATATTATTTTGTACTGTGGAGTGGGCTCATGCTTTGACCCATCCTGCTAACATAATGTCGCATTTTGACTTATACTCTACCTAAGGCCAAAAATTTGTGCTAGAAAATGGTAGCGGCTCGCAAAATTGACATACAGTACTGTTCCGTTTTCTGTTTTGGGTCCTCTGTCAGCTTAGGATAAGAGTACTTTAGTATAACAGTTTCTTGATGTTGGTAATCTTATGAGGATGTACTGCATGCTTAGTTCTTGCTAAGGCAGAAAGGTAGGCATAACAAATCAGACCCAGTGACCTCCAATCCCAAGGAAACAAGCAGACAAGCAAACGTCACAATCCATCATTCCTGTCACCCATCCATGCAGCCTCTCCCCCCCCCCCTCCTGGGAATGGGAAGGGGAAGCCCTGGACCCCCGTGCTGGCTACCCCGCCACTTCAGTTCAGAGGGGTATGTATCAAGCATGCGAAAACCACCAACTGGAGGGAGGGAAAGTTGCCAGGGAGCCTCCGGGACTCACCCAGAAAATGGCGTCGTTTTCTGTTAGGATCCTCTTTGGCTCCATGGAGCTACATAACCAAAGTTAAGGTGAAGAGGGATTTACCTGGGAGGTGGCTGCCACACACTCCTCAATGCAAAGTTGATACAACGGGCTGCAACCTGCGACCCAAAGCAACACAAGAATGAACAGATTCAGGAACGTTAACCAAATATCGGGTGACCAAAACCCTGTTCGACCTCCAAAATCCCTGCGCCTGAATATCAGCCCAAGACATGTTGCCGAACATGGCAACCAACGCAGCAAACTTCCTAATGTCATGGGCTCGAGGATAGACCACAGGCTGGCTAGACTTAATAACCCTGCGAACAACCTGGAAGACCCGAGCCCAGGAACAGGGCTCGGGTCTAATGTGTCTAATGATAAACGACAAGTCCTTACCTGAATCTTGGTTCTCCACCTGAACAATTTATGTGGGAACCAGTTGGAAAAAATGTGAGAATAGTCAAGTCAGGAGAGCTTGTTGTGAAACAGGTGCGGCACCTGGTGGCAATAGGGGAGTGATGATTAGGTGGGTCTACTGGTAGTTAACTAGAGCACTACTTGACACTCTGTTATATCAGGCAGAACTTGGAAAAGTTCCAAATATATATGACTCAAACTTCAAGAGGCATTCCAGGTTAGACAGAGTATTATCTGGTGTCCCTAATGTCTCACTATGACCAAACAGGAATGGTTGAATATATCCTTGCTGTGCCAGTGCAGAATGTTGACATGTTTTGACCGAGTACAACCCTATCCATAGGGTCAGTAGGATCTTGTCTTAGGAAGCAAATGAATGGATTATCTCATCAAATGTGTTCATTACTAGGATAAGTTGAAGATTGCATGGCTCAATTACCTTTAAAACAAGGCATTACATGATGATATAGCATAGACACATTTAAGATATTGAAAATTAAAGAGAGCATAAATCTGACAATTTCTTCAAGCTATTAATGTTACACAACTATAAGCTTACCAAGTTATCATCAAGAACAAACAGAAGCATTTTACCTGCTGATGTTGTGACTTTAAATAAATTTGTACACACAAAAATCACAATAGCGTGATGTATCAAATGAACAAATCCACAAGGGCTGTGATGAGGGTTCGAACCTATGTCTGAGAGGATCCCAGATGCTGCCTTAATCGACTAGGCCACAACATGGAAAAGAATTGCTACCCGGGAATTCCACTGGACTCACACGGATCCTGCAGTCTCTTCGAGACACAAACCTGCTTATTGACAGAGCCCCAGTGCATGGGGGAATTGTGTAAAACCCTGGTTTGTGTCTCAGAGAGACTGAAGGATCCGTGCGAGTCCAGTGGAACTCCCGGTTGCAATTCTTTTCCATGTCATGGCCTAGTCGATTAAGGCAGCATCTGGGATCCTCTCAGATGTAGGTTCAAACCCTCATCACAGCCCTTGTGGATTTGTTGTTTAAATCTGTACATATTGTATATATTCAGCTGCACTTCAGTGAATACTGAACAATCCTAAAATTATAACATAACTGTTATTAATCTTATCTGTTTTACTGAGCAAAAGAAAAACTTATTAGGATTTTAGTAATACTGTACTGTAAATGGGAAATCAATTTGTAAGTATCCTTTTATGATAAGGCTCCTTTTCTTCCCTGTATTATAAAGAATGGCAGGAGTAATCAACATGTATACAGTTATGAGAAAGTGTAAAATAAACAAATAATGTGTGAATTACCTTACATTTTTGTTCCTACAAGAGTTGCCTTTTATCAATGTTGTATATTAACCTTCAAGTTGATGATTAACAAAAGCCTAAGGCTCTGGCTAAAATATGGTTAGTTGGATTATTATTGTTTTTAACAATTTACACACTCATCTCTTAGTATTAGATAATTAATACAAAAAATATTATGATCTTCAAACTAAGATGAATTAAATTAATATTTAGCTCACCAAAATGTAGGAGAGTTGTTTGGAGAGCATTGGATGAAGCACAAGGAAGCCATTGTGATTGATAATAAAAGCATAACCATTTGGTCCCAGTGCTTCAAAGGGAGAGAGGTTTTTGAGAGATTGTATAGGCACATCAATGCCTGCCACTCCCAGTAATGCTGATGTGTTCTGTGGAAAGAAATGGGCAATGTCAAGACTTCCATTTGTATCCACCTTCAAAAGATTTATAACCAGAAATTTTGTAAAAATAGAGTGAAATAAAACACCCGTTAATGTGTGACACCTTGCTAGCTGCCCTATGCTTCATGCCACTGGTTATTGTAGGTTACAGACCTTGCTCCAGGCTTTGAGTGACCTTACGCCCCAGAAGACGAGAACCTTTTCAGATTGTCTTCACGCTCCCTCCCTTGGAAAGGAAACTCAGTAAAGAACATACCTCAATCTACCCTGAGGTAACTGTTTGCCAGACTTCCAATCATCCAAAACTCCCACCACATAGTTAACAAGTTAACCCACCCACCCACCATCTATAACAAGCTAAGTGAGAAGGTGGTGGAGGCCAAAACTGTCACTATGCCAAATTTGCCAAAAATTTATAGTAGTTTCTAAAAACTAAAAACTGGCCTACTAAACCTAAAAACTGGCCTAAAAACAAAAAACTAAACTGGCCAAAACTTATAGTAGTTTCAAAGCTTTAAACGATGAAAAGTACTGGGAAGATGGGACACCACAAGTGTAACTCTTATCCTGTAACTACCTTGAGGTTACCTTGAGATGGTTGCAGGGCTTAGCATCCCCGCAGCCAGGTCCTCGACCAGGCCTCCTCGTTACTTGACTGGTCAACTAAGGTGTTGGACCCAGCTTCTCGCAGCCTGACGTATGAGTCACAGCCTGGTTGATCAGGTATCCTTTGGAGGTGTTTATAAAGTTCTCTCTTGAACACTGTGAGGGAGCAGCCACTTATGCCTCTTATGTGTAGTGGAAGCGTGTTGAATAGTCTCGGGCCTCTGATGTTGATAGAGTTCTCTCTTAGAGTACCTATTGCACCTCTGTGGTAGGCAATTATGACTCAAATTATATCAACAATATAATACTGCCCGAAATGCTTTGCGTAATAGTGGCTTTAGGCATTGTATGTACTAGCTTTATCTATAAATCTATCAATTTTTTTAAAACCTCTTGTATGTATGTACTTTACCTGAATAAACATTTATTTATTTATTTTATTTACATTTATAATTTAAAAGCGAGAATTTAGCTTACCGTGTTGTAGTTTGTATTCTGGTTTCAAAATGTAGACCTTGAAATGTGTAGTTCTTAAAAATTTACATAACCTAACCTCTGGTTATCCTGGTTTCTGTCCAGATATGGCAAAGTTTTTGCCAGAAAAATATCCGGATGCGATTTTTAACCTAAATGCTCGGTTAAGTGGAATCCAGATAAGCAAGCTCATACAGTATTGAACCAATACTACACTCACACTCCCCTTCTTCTCTCTACCACAATAGCGTATTATATATATATATATATATATATACAATCTTTGGACAACACCCACCAGTGGGACTCGAACCCAGAAAGCACAACTACCTTCCAGTAGCTGGCATAACTAGTATGCTTTAACCCACTACGCCATCAGACCTTACAAAAGAAGTAGATAGTTCGAGATATATATCTCAAACATCTCTACCTCCCGAAGGCACCAGATGAGTGAGGGGTCAGTCTGCATTTTTCGTCAAGCCACTGTCAATGTGAGAGAACTCGTGTCCAGCTTATAAGCCTATACTTGCATAAACCACAAGTGAAGATAAACAATCTTTGGACAACACCCACCAGTGGGACTCGAACCCAGAAAGCACAACTACCTTCCAGTAGCTGGCATAACTAGTATGCTTTAACCCACTACGCCATCAGACCTTACAAAAGAAGTAGATAGTTCGAGATATATATCTCAAACATCTCTACCTCCCGAAGGCACCAGATGAGTGAGGGGTCAGTCTGCATTTTTCGTCAAGCCACTGTCAATGTGAGAGAACTCGTGTCCAGCTTATAAGCCTATACTTGCATAAACCACAAGTGAAGATAAACAATCTTTGGACAACACCCACCAGTGGGACTCGAACCCAGAAAGCACAACTACCTTCCAGTAGCTGGCATAACTAGTATGCTTTAACCCACTACGCCATCAGACCTTACAAAAGAAGTAGATAGTTCGAGATATATATCTCAAACATCTCTACCTCCCGAAGGCACCAGATGAGTGAGGGGTCAGTCTGCATTTTTCGTCAAGCCACTGTCAATGTGAGAGAACTCGTGTCCAGCTTATAAGCCTATACTTGCATAAACCACAAGTGAAGATAAACAATCTTTGGACAACACCCACCAGTGGGACTCGAACCCAGAAAGCACAACTACCTTCCAGTAGCTGGCATAACTAGTATGCTTTAACCCACTACGCCATCAGACCTTACAAAAGAAGTAGATAGTTCGAGATATATATCTCAAACATCTCTACCTCCCGAAGGCACCAGATGAGTGAGGGGTCAGTCTGCATTTTTCGTCAAGCCACTGTCAATGTGAGAGAACTCGTGTCCAGCTTATAAGCCTATACTTGCATAAACCACAAGTGAAGATAAACAATCTTTGGACAACACCCACCAGTGGGACTCGAACCCAGAAAGCACAACTACCTTCCAGTAGCTGGCATAACTAGTATGCTTTAACCCACTACGCCATCAGACCTTACAAAAGAAGTAGATAGTTCGAGATATATATCTCTATATCTCTCTATATATATATATATATATATATATATATATATATATATATATATATATATATATATATATATATATATATATAAAAGTACAGGTCTGAAGTCCACTTACAGTATAGTCGGACATGTTGTACACCGGCCGCGTTAGTGACACTGTCAGCTCCTCCGTCTGTAAGTGTAGATATTGACATTGATTAAAGCATTTCTTTTCCTTCAAAATGCAGTTTATATACATATATCCACTTCAGTCAATGAAATATCCAAACATCCTACAAGTGAGATTAACTAATCTATTACTGTGTTAATTTGCATTGCATTTCAATGTTTTCTTTGGGATATTAATACATACTTCCCAAAGTGTGATACTGAATTAAAAAAAAAACAGAATGCTTCTATACACATCTCTAGTTCAAAAAGTATTATTCAGTAAACTATACACACAGACAAAATGCTTACCACGGTGCAAAGTGGGTAAACAAGGAGGAGAAAGCAGAGCACGCAGGCAACAGTGAGTCATGCACTAAGGGCAGGCTGGTGAGGCTCCTCCAAGCACTAACAATTCGCTGAACCACCACAATAACACAAGCTTTATTAAAGGACGAACAGAGTAATCCTTTCAACACACTTATACAGCCTCTTATTAAAACTCAGTTTTGTTCAGGCAATTTTTGAAATACTTTAATGTTACATAAATCAGTTACATAGAACACATACATGTAACTGTAGTATATCTAAAAAATCTGAAAACCTGCTCAATAACTTTTGTATAAAATATTGGCCTCAGATGTCTCTATTATGAGATGAAGTTCCATGCAAGTGAAATACTGTAGTATGTGTAAGGAAGTCTAATATTCTAGATCATTCTTCAACAATCTTATTTATGAGCTATTCAACTTGGTTTCTCAAAATGGTAAAGATATTCCTGCCCTGAGGATAGGCCTATGGTTAGTCAGGGTAGGTCAACAATATGCACCATCACATCAGGGATCCTTTAAAAATTCTCTCTCCTGAGGAAAACGGTGGAAAACCCTCAAAGCAGTCTGAAATAAATGCCAGAAAGCACATTTTACAAAACTTAAATGCACTTCCAAACACTAACTGGCAACCCAACGACCACTAATTAGCATTCACACAAACTATCAGTTGCTTCGGCCAGACATTACACCTGCCACATATATCAGCAATTGATAAACCCAGGGTATCCTGACTCTAGCCACTTCACAATCTAACTGATTCTTGGGCAGCAAGAAACTAGAATTCTATGTTGAGTGATTTGGGGGTTTATCTTTCGAACCTCTTTGGTTCGTTGTACAGCAAGTGGATTTATAAAATTAGTGGATGCTGCTTAAGTGAGAGTATTCTATTAGTATGTGTCTTTTGATATTTTAACCAACTGAATATCAGTTATACAGGATTCTCTGTTCTTTTTTGATTCATTTATTTATAGCTGTTGATATTCTCCTCTTGAGTTCCACTGTATCTCCTCTCTCCACATAGGCACATGTGAGTAAGGCATACACTGGTCTGTTCAGGTTTGGTTACTCCCTTGTATAACTAACATATCTCTATTTTGTTTTTGCGGGTTGGGACAGAATTTAATCACCAAATCCTGTCTGTTGTTTACAGGGTTAGTTTAAGGTTTACTGGGACTTGTCCATGGCTACAGCAACTGCATTCTTCCGTGTACTGCACTTGTTTGCTATGATACTCTTTAGTAAATCCCTGCTTTACAGAATGGTAAGGATGAATCAATCGTAGGTGTATTATCAAGTTCAAGATCTTAAGCTATTCACTAGCCTCAAGGAATTTTTCTTGTCAATGTCTTTTTTGAACATTAAAGCTCACATGCTCTGGAAATTTATCCACATGATGGCATTGCCACTAGTGTCTCCTCTTGGGGTGGTTGTATTCCCAATATCCTCCCTTCTTGCTCAAGGGATTTTGTTACCAGGATGCATAGTGTTGGCAACACTGGATGTTTCTATCAATGGCTTTGTTTTCTATCACTCAACAGCCCCAGAGGAGTTTTTTCCCATTACTTTCTTTACTATATAGTAATTTTGGAATTGTTATCCTCTTCCAAAAGATGCTTGCCATAGGGAGCAACTGAGTGGCATACCTTAGAAATGAGGCTTTGAGTAAAACCAAAAGCACTGTTTCTGAGCAAGTCGCACCGTTGCTCGGGGGCTCAGTTTAACAGTGAGGAGGCTCGAGTCAAGGAACTCGACTCGAGTTCCTTGACTCGTGACTCAATTCCAGTGAGTTCGAGTAACTTGTTTAGGTCCTGATCCTTCCATCTGGTTATGCTCAAGCAGAATAACTGCCATCTGATTTGAACTCTAAATGGCGATGCATATAGGATGCAATTTGTGTTTGGAAGAGCTTTGACATTTTGAAATGTACTTTTTGTAATCATTCTGAGCTGGATTGAGCATTGTCCAGTATATCTCTAGGATCAGTATGGCCCAGATGGAACAGTTTGAAAAGATTCCTGCTGTGTCATTGCAGATTGCTGACCTGCCCCTCACTGCCAGCCATTTCTTTTCCTTAGGAAGCATTCAAGTGCCTTGTTCAGAAAAGAATCTTTCATTTAACTCAAAGCCTGATTTTGTATGAATTTTAATGTATGAAATTATTATTTCAGCAATATAAAAATATACATACCAATAATAGTATTTAAAATGCTTTATACCTATATTAAAAATTATACCATCCCATTTAATCTTTGCTTTGTTTGCTATTTTATACCCAATACTAGTGCTTTTACTAGTGCAAACAACAGAATAAGCTATTGTATACATTTGTATATAAAAATCACATGGTAAAATATACATCTTAAAAATTTTGTTCATAATGTACTGTAATTTATGTATATTTTCTGGTTAACAATTCCAGTCCAGCAAACATCCGAACTTGCACCATTAATGGTCTTCATTATTGTCTATTGCAACTGACTGCAATAATCTTATGACACGAATGAATACTTACATTGCATCCAGACGACCTGTAGGCCAGGTAAATGATCCTGTATATTAACTGCCACATCTACCACATAAATCACATCTACCACCACCACATGGGTGGTACCGCATCTACCACATAAATTAGTTTCATGTTATAATATCACAAGATACCTGTATCGAAGGCACAATAAAGAGTTCCAGGCTATACAGTAGTTTCTCAAGTTGCAAATGGGGTTGGGAGATGGTTTTTGTTGGGACGTGGAGCAGTGTTGATGGGAGGTGGCAATGATGGGGGTTGTAATGATGGGTGGTGACAATGAAGAGGGGGTTGCAATGATGGGTGGTGACAATGAAGGGGGGTTGCAATGATGGGTGGTGACAATGAGGGATGGTGGCAATAAGAGGTGATGGCAAAGATGGATGGTGGTTAAATAAAGTGATGTGGAGTGACGGTAATGCATGGGGGCTGGGTTGTGATGTGAGATACGCACCTAGTTGTATTCACATAGCTGTGCTTGTGGGGGGGTTGAGCTCTAGCTCTTTGATCCCGCCTCTCAACCGACAATCAGCTGATGCACAGATTCTTGAACCTATTGGGGGTCTATTATATATATATATATTTGAAAACTGTGTATGGAGTCAGCCTCCACCACATCACTGCTTATTGTAATAGTGGACACAACCAGTACCTTCATCACCCTGGTCCACAACTAGTACCTTCATCACCCTGGTCCACAACCAGTACCTTTATCACCCTGGTCCACCAACCAGTACCTTCATCACCCTGGTCCACCAACCAGTACCTTCATCACCCTGGTCCACCAACCACTACCTTCATCACCCTGGTCCACCAACCAGTACCTTCATCACCCTGGTCCACCAACCAGTACCTTCATCACCCTGGTCCACAACCAGTACCTTCATCACCCTGGTCCACCAACCAGTACCTTCATCACCCTGGTCCACCAACCAGCACCTTCATCACCCTGGTCCACCAACCACTACCTTCATCACCCTGGTCCACCAACCAGTACCTTCATCACCCTGGTCCACAACCAGTACCTTCATCACCCTGGTCCACCAACCAGTACCTTCATCACCCTGGTCCACCAACCAGTACCTTCATCACCCTGGTCCACCAACCAGTACCTTCATCACCCTGGTCCACAACCAGTACCTTCATCACCCTGGTCCACCAACCAGTACCTTCATCACCCTGGTCCACCAACCACTACCTTCATCACCCTGGTCCACAACCAGTACCTTCATCACCCTGGTCCACCAACCAGTACCTTCATCACCCTGGTCCACCAACCAGTACCTTCATCACCCTGGTCCACCAACCAGTACCTTCATCACTCTGGTCCACCAACCAGTACCTTTATCACTCTGGTCCACCAACCAGTACCTTCATCACCCTGGTCCACCAACCAGTACCTTCATCACCCTGGTCCACAACCACTACCTTCATCACCCTGGTCCACAACCAGTACCTTCATCACCCTGGTCCACCAACCAGTACCTTCATCACCCTGGTCCACCAACCAGTACCTTCATCACCCTGGTCCACCAACCAGTACCTTCATCACTCTGGTCCACCAACCAGTACCTTCATCACTCTGGTCCACCAACCAGTACCTTCATCACCCTGGTCCACCAACCAGTACCTTCATCACCCTGGTCCACCAACCAGTACCTTCATCACCCTGGTCCACCAACCAGTACCTTCATCACCCTGGTCCACCAACCAGTACCTTCATCGCTCTGGTTTGCCTACAGCAGATATATACAGTTCACCAAATTTATTTCAAGTCCTTCTTAATGATTTACACAAAATCAAAATCATTATCAGTGTTTTCCAGCATTTTAACACAAAAAATAAACTACCCAAGAGTCTGATCACTGCCATGCTATAAGCAATTCACTAAGGATTAAAGTATTTTTATGAGGGCTAAAAGCTACATTAAAAACTGGTGTACTGATCCCTTTATACGAAGCAACCTCACAGACTACATCTACCAAGACTCATCTACTGTACTTTAGGGGGTCTAGCTTATTTCTCACTAAATTAAAACTATTATCACATCTGTCATGCGTATTTTATTACAAGATGAGCATTCTAATTCAAAATATGCCAGCAAATATGTTGCACTCTAAAGATTAATTTAAAAATCTGGTACAGTACCCTTAGACTCAAACAAAAGCTCAAGATCTGGTTGGCAACCACGAAGGATACAGTACTGTACTTACTGTATAATACTTTTGCAAAATTTAAATAGCGCAGAAAATTTTAAATAATCAAAATATAATTATGACAGTTATTTCACACTGCAAAATCAAAACAGATTGACAAATCTTTTCACTGTCAAATATGAATGCTCGAATATGAATGGTTACAAATGCAGTTATCGTCATGAATTATTACTAGGGGGAAATGCAGTCATCATCATATGATGATTTAAACAATTATGGTCTGGGTTTTACATGTGTGATGCAAATATGGATATAATAGCTCTCTGTGGATGTAAATAAAGTAAATCAAGTGATAAACAAATCGGTGACATATCCGAGGATAAAACAGGAATCGTCAGCAAAGTCACGCACAGGGTATTGACAATGTGACAGATGCAGCCTAGCAGAGTGCCTCCATCCAGTGAAATGATAAATATTCACTTATTTTTGTGTTTTCCTTACATTTTGAATACAAATTAATAACTTTATAATGAAAAATAGTTTTTTGGGAATTTGTTATTTTTTTGGGCACATAGGCGATATGACCATTTTTTACATAGCCATTGTCCAAGGGGTTAAAACACCATTAATGGTTAAAGTACCAAAAAATCACGCCCAGCAGTTTTTTATTAGATTGTTCAAATTTTCAGTTATCCGGCCATCCAGAGGTACCAATTGGTCAGAATAAATGAAGTCATACTGTACCGTGAATGATACAATACAGTATAATGAATGGACGAGATATTCTTAATTGAACTCCTGGGTTGAGCACTCAAATATCCATGACACAACAAGAATGAATTGATTTTTTTTGTTATATTTAATATTCTTAAAATGCATTCCTTGAGAACTGGAAAATTCAAATAATAATGTGACTTACTATTAGCACAATTAAAATAAATTATGAGACTTACTTTGGCCTGCTGGAGGGAGGAAATCTTGCCAATGACATTTGATCCATGCGCACTCATGGATCAATATGCTCCATGAAATTTGGCCAGACCAGGCAAAGGGCACAAGTTCCCATAAAGATATTCTTGCAAGTTTATTTCAATACCACTGGTTTGTTTTTTTCCTTTTCTTTGCAGTAATATGATTCATTATTGTATCAACTGATAAATTTCTATAATAAAATTGTGGAATAATGGTATGCTCAAATATATTTGTGCTGCTAATATGCACACCATATTATATTCCTAGAACAATAAAACATACATACATAGCTCAGTCGATTAAGGCAGTGTCTGGGATGTTCCCGGACGCAGGTTCGAATCCTCGTCATGGCCCTTGTGGATTTGTTCAATAAAACATACTGTTTTTGCTTTTATTACACAGTATACACACATTATATATAACTATTTACATTTGTATGCACCATTATGAACAGCTAAGCAGTTCTGGTTGGGTGTGATAACATTGAAAACATTAATCCAGGCACGGCACAGCCCCACATGATTGTTGGTTGCCAATGGCATCTGGCAAAGCCTAGTGCTGCACTATAACCAACACACATCACTAACTCTAGCCAAAACACACCTATTATTGTCAGAATCCCTGGTCACAAAATCATTTTTCACATGAAAATTTTCCTAAAGGAACTTGAGGTCTTATTGCATGATGTATAGATGCATCATCACCTGCATCAGATTCACCGATATCTGAACCTCGTATGTAATCTTTATCACTGTCAGGGTCTTCTGTCATTATTATTGATAGTGCTGTTGTCATGTGAGGGGCCTTTGCTTTATGCATTGTTTCTGTGTTTCTGTATTGCTTCATGCATGCTTTCGATCTGGCTTGTTTTATAAGCTTAGCTCTTCTTGCCTTTTAGGGTGCACGAGCTCAGGATTTTCTTCCCTGGGTTCCCTTGCACATCAGTTATCCTCTCTGGTTTGCTGACAGCTCGCCCCAGAGAGGCCAGGCCACCAGGGTGGAGAACCTCTTGCCTTGGGCTAATCATGAATTTTAAATTTTTCTGCTTGGGCCCTTGACAGGAGACACTCTTTGGTTGTGCTGGGGTACACTATATTCACATGCTTGTTTATATGGCACACTATGGTTGTCATTTGTAGCCATATTGTTTTGGCTGTAATTTGGTGACTGGTCTTCTGGCAAGAGGTACCAGTGCCTGGGGGTTGCTGCTTTGGTAGCCATATTCAGGGCCTGGGAATCCCCTGAGGATCTCTGGTGTGGTCCATTATAGATTTAGCCCATCAAGCCCACCACTGCTGGTGCAAGTTTGATGAGTGCTCATCATCTTTGCTACCAGACGATGATCATTCTTTCTACTCATGCCATGCTGCTTACTGGGTTAGAGATTCAGTACATGCAACCCTGAGCCCTGTGAGGTTTGTTCTCACTGGGTGTCTGCACTTATAGATTCCACTTCCCAATTGAAAGTTTTTTAAACAGCAGCCACAAGCTAGGTTTGCTCAGGTTAGGCATTCATGGCATATTGGTTGACTGGATGTCCATGAGTTGGCCCCTATGGTGCACAGGGATCCAGAATTGGAGGTGTTGGTGACCTTCACCTGAATTCAGTCTGCACCCCTCTCTTCCTTTTTCCTGCAGGTATGGTTTATCCCACTTCTGGTCTTCCCCCTTGGTTACAGCTCCCAAGCATCTGAGGATTTTGGAGTTGGATCAGGATTTAGTGCTCGGTGTAGCTCATCCTTCTCTGGGGTTCGTTCCATCCACATCAACGGTGGAAGCAGTTGGGCCTTCTGATCTTGCCTGGGAATTTTACCCTTTTATACCCATTGGTTTATTACTTAATGGGTAAAAAAAACATCTCCTGTTGTCTATCCCACATTGTAGTTTTGTTGAGCTTCAGGCTGTTGCTCCTTGTGTGAATAGCATTGAACTTTTTTAAAAGTGGTGTGGATGTCTTACAATTCATTTAGTATGCACGTTTTAAAGGTCTCAATGAGATCACCTCTAACATGAAATGCTTGTTGTGTTTTTGGTCCGGAGCCTCTCAACTTTTTCTTGTATAAGAGTTGATATAGTTCCTGGATGATACTGTAGATAACGGTAGACATTTTGCAAGGGGTCGACGCAGGATGAGGGGAAACAAAAGGATAGTATGAACACCCAAATGAACCATGGAGACAAAACAATATAATCTTCACTGTACGGGTAGTAAAGTAGAGTACACAAGGATGTAATGGAGGCTAACTCAATACACACTATTATGCTAACTCAAATGTCAGTAGGAAAAAAAAAAATCCTCTGGATTTGGAAGGTAGCACACTGGTCAGTTAATGAGGCAGGTCCCAGGAATTAAGAGCGCCATCGCTATAACCACACTTAAATGAACTCGCATACAACAAAGTGAGACACACACACACATACACATACACAGATGCATGCATTTGTACAATTAGACCAGTCCCTACCCGCATACAACAAAGTGAGACACACACACATACACAGATGCATGCATTTGTACAATTAGACCAGTCCCTACCCGCATACAACAAAGTGAGACACACACTCACACACAGATGCATGCATTTGTACAATTAGACCAGTCCCTACCCGCATACAACAAAGTGAGACACACACTCACACACAGATGCATGCATTTGTACAATTAGGCCAGTCCCTACCCCAAAATAATTTCCTTTATCCTCTATCTTCCCTTACCACTTCTCTTGGAGGGATTCCTCAAATCTAATGATAATTAGATCTACATTACATGTTTACATCTTCACACCGTCCTGACAATCACTGCATTGTTTGCCAACCAAACTTAGTCCTCCTTATACCCGAGTGCTCTTTCATTTGCAATCTAATTAATTCTATTTGTCAAGACTTTTCATGAAATCACTAATTTATATACGTTGTTATTTCATACACTGATTGTAATTTATTCCTGTTAATTTCTATATTAAATCAAATATTAGAACAGTTTTAATATTCTTATCTTTCATTGTCTGTACATAAAGTATAAATGCACGTTTGCAAATAATTAAAATGTTAAATATCTTTGAGAATTTTGTATCAGTTCATTTCCTTCCAATTCAAGAACTCAACATTGAATAATGGTAAAAAGTTGAAATCAAAATGACAGAGAACAGAAAGAAATAATTAAATAATAATTTAGGTAAAAAAATTGAAAAAGTACAGTACCAGATTCTTAATACCTTATGTCCTATTACATCAGCAAAAACTCCAGCTCATCACTGTTTTCTAATGTTGACTTAGAGCCCAAATGCTAATGTTTAGTACCTGTATGACCATACAGCATAGCAAGAATTTATATATTCTCAGCATTATTTGGCATATACAGACAATTGTCATGGCAATCAGTATTATGAGTTCGGTTGCTTTCCCCAATTACTTCTCACTGCAAAACACTTCAGTATTTGGGGTGATCCAGCTTTAGCATGTCTCATGTGATTAGTGGTTAGTTCACTGAATTACAAAAGAATAGCAAAACAGTTTTAAAAACAAAAATCACCAGTAACTTGCGACTAATGATGAAAGCAAGCATTGGATTATTTGGAAATGCATGGCAAGGAAAAATCAAGGACAACTATTTACCTAACCACATTGTAAATCTTTACATGTCATCCATTTTGAATTAAATTCTTGCATGATTAGGCTTATCTTACCTGATTTATAGTCAGCTTTATATATATATATTTTGGAAAGTCTCCTAATTTTTCCCAATGTCTTTGAACACCAACTAAATACAGGACTTCTATTGGCTGAGGTAATGCACAGCTGAAGCCCGGAAAATATCTTACCACTTGCTCTTGGTAGAACGTTACCATTGACTCTGCTAGAGGGAGGGCCTGAGGTCTTGCTAGCACTTGCAAATAGTCCTATAAAAAGTGTTGGGCTTAATGTGCAATTCATGGACAGAAAACACCAGAAGCCTATATAGCTGCTTCAAAAGTTGTCATTCAGCAACAGAATCATGCCAGGCATCAAAGTCCCTCAGTTCCTCTCCCTAAGAAAAAGTGAATTAGGTGAGCAATGAGAGATACCAGATCCCAAGAAAAAAGGGGTCTCAAAAATGTTTAAAATGTGCATCTAAACAGTATATTTGTGGGCAGAGCAAAGATTGTTAGCTCAAAAGTGTTATGACTGAGAAGCATCTGCACATTGATTATGAAGACTTGAGGAAAAGACAAGTGTAAATTATACAGCGCTCTACCATAATAAAATGAACACCTCTGATTGTCCACAACTTAAATTTAAAGAGTTAAGATGTAGCCATAAGGAAATGCACTACAGTATACACACAGTACTGTAACATTTGCAAATAGCATGTCCAATGGCACCATGCAATGCCTATACTCTCATCAATTTGACTTTTTGTTGCAGTCTAATAATTATGAAGCTTTTCTTTTAGCTCATGTCCATTACTTGGCAGTGGATGACTTTTTTTCAGCTCCATTCATAAGATTTCAGAGGCATTTGGCTGCATGCATGTCTAGATTCTATGCGGGAGGCATTCAAAGGGGAAGTGGGGTGGCACTTTAGGGATTTCACTTTTTTTATTAGATAAAATGGGTCTATATATACTTGGTTTCACTCAAAATATAACGAAATGTCTTCTCACATAGAACATTTAATTTGGCAACAAATAAAAACTGATTGAATATAATATTATTCTTATCACTACATAAAACAGAATGTACAGTAATCCACGACATGACATTGCAACTGCTGTGTTATGCTGTCTGTCACAAGTTACCAGTTCACAATGCTTCCTGTAATTCTCCCTTCACCCAGATGTAAATACTTGACTGGAACTGATGAAAATGTGACTCATCCATGTAGGCTCCAAAACATATAATTCATGCAAGTCTTAAATCAGTTGGGCCTAATACTTTCTGTGATGAATGTTCATTTTAATATTTGACTCTTCAGATAAGTTCACATATTCTGTTTAACAACATAAAGACTAGGTTGTAAATTAGGTAACATTATGCAGCTAACATTTTGTATGAATCAGATCCCGTGCATGGGCAAAATTAACAATTACTAGCACATGGACTATACAAGTATTACCAGCGAACTCTTTCTTGCATCTCGAGTCACAATTACAGTACTGAAGAAACCAAGTGAGAAACAACACTGCCACTTCACTACCCTTCTCAATACGTTGCAAAATTTGATCCCCAGGCATGATGTAGTGCAGCTTTGGCATTTTCTTACTAATAGTGTGCAATGATGCTATGCACACAACAAGATACACATATATATTACTAGCAATATGCCTCAGATTTCAACTACATTAAAAAGATCCACAATGTGACCATAGATGAAATGTGAAATGTCACGTTCATGGGCACTTGACATTGATAAGATCATGGTTTAAACAACCGGTTTTATACCACACAAACATTACCTGCCGTGAGTCTCACAGCAAATATATTGCAGGCAATTATAGACCTATAATCATCAAATTCTCCCCCAATCATGAAACTCCTTTTGCAGTTACATGATACTTGATTATTTGGGGAGGTTTATTCCAACATTTAGAAGCATGTGTTCATATTACCATGGCAATACGCTATAATAATTGACAGAGCAAAACTTTTCATCTTCTTTTACGCCAGTTATGATGTGACTAAATGTGTACAAGGAGGTGTACTATTCAGATACTAGACTAAAAATAAAAAATAAAACTACATTAACTCATCTGACAGCCCTACACCAGCTGGTCATATACTGTGGACAACTCAAAATATTCAGTACCTTTAATTGTGAAAGCAGAAGTTAGGCAGTGAAGTCATCTGTTAAAAGAAAGTATGCCAAAGATAAGAACTGAGCCAAGAAGGTAAAGTAAGAAACGGAAATAAACGCAAATGTAAACAAACCAGAAATACGAATAAGACTACAGTATAACGTAAATGTAAATGGGAAAATATGCACATTTACTTCAAGCCTTAAAACACAAACATTTACTGAATACCCCATTAAAAAAAAGAGAGCAAAAACAGGGATACTGTATGTGATACAGGAAAAAGTATAAATATACGCTAGAACTGAAACATACTCAAGATACTCAGATAACTGAGTTGGCAGATACCAAAGAAATGGTACAGTTTTCAATGACTTCACAACACAAGAGAAAGAGCAATACTCTAATTATGGTACCGAATAACTATTAACTATGAAAATTAGCGATGTACATGCAGTCATTTGACTTTGCTATATTTAACCTCGTAAGTGTTGTTTTACATTAATGCAAAATTCTAAACAAAATAATTCTAATTTGGGTCATTTAAAAAACAGTATGTAAAAATCAACGACATTAAGACAAAAATTCTGAAACACTTCAAAGAGGATGCACTACCGAGGAATGACAGCATTGCTTAGCAAAGAAGATGAGCAGTTACTTTGAGTTACTTTGAGAATCTGTCAACTCAAGGGTGTTTGAAGAACATTTACAATTTTGATGGATGAAAGAGGGTCCTCCACCAATGTTTGCTCTAAAGAAGAAAAATATACACTTTATTAATAGAGAGAAAAAAGGTCACCACACCACATCAACAAACCAGCTCTCTGTAGCCATCTGGTCATGAGTTACTGTACCTAGTCTTACGTCTTTCCAGCTATAGCTTTAATCTGGCATAATTAGATTTGACTGAATTATAGCAAAGACAGCTTTGCAGAGAGTAGGTGGAAGCTGTGAGTCCAAAAACCACACAGCTAAAAATTCGGCAGAAAAGTTTAAATCTAACAACTGAAAGATTTTTTTACTTCAATATAAATATATGAAAAGTATTCATAGTAAAATATATTTGACTTTTTACTTGCATATGATAAAATAGTTTGTAGTAATTAATCCTCAAGCTCTCATTAGCAATAAATATATATTTTTTCCACAGCAAATAGATCATTATATGCTATAATTGATTAAGTAGAGGAAAGCTCCTTCAGTTGCCAGATACATAACAACACCTGGACAGAGTGGAGACAAGACCAAATAGTTATCAGAAGGTGTTTGGGATAGACGCCAGTACTGTACAGGATTCCGTCTCAATTACCACAGCACTTGTGTACGCAGTTGTGTATTGGTCAGTGTGAACTCCCTTCAGGGGTTGCGCGGGAGAGAGTAAGCTTGTGTACGATTCCTGAAACGAAATCTCATTAAACAATGGTAATTTCAATTCATTATTAAATGTTAAATGCACAGGATATTATATAGGAATTTATCTGAGTTTTACCTGAGAGCCACTAACACTAGTGACCTCAATGAGGACAGGAAGCCGGCAGCTTATTGAAGGTCCCCCCCTACATTTGTCTTGTCAAAGTTGTGTAGGATATAAAGATATGCATGATATTTGATGTAATTCAAAATAACCAAAGTCGGACAAGAAGCATGTGTGTGTAAAGCTAAGGAATGATGTAGATACCCAATGATGATAATGCCAGCACTAAAATGAGACTGAGCATTCACATGTCAAACAACAATAAGTCAACAATGGAAACATTAACTTACAGCAAACAAAAATTGTTTGTTGTGGTTATTGCACAGACTTCCATTCTTTCAGTGAAAAATAGGCTGCACAAAGATACACAATTTCATAAAAAATGTGTACTGCAGCCACTAATAACATTTTGTAATGAATGTTAAAGTGAATGAATGTGAAATATCCAGCAATGAATGTAATGAAATGTTTTTTTTCTGGAGGGTGCCCTATATATATCTTCTAGAGCTACCCATATGAGTTCTCCAAACCCACCAAGTAATATAGCAGGATCTAATGAATCACAAGAACCTACCAGAGACCAAGACCCAAATCTGGCTTCCCCCATAGTGGCATAGGGGAGTGGTGATAGAAGATTACCACATTACTAAAAGAAAACCCTTCAGAAAGGTAGTGCACCCCCAAAACAAACAACTGCTTGGACAACATTTGAAACTAGAAGATAGAAGAATTAAAGTGATACGCTCACTACTTCTAAATTAGTAACAGGAATCAATATAATTGACAAAGAAAAAATTTTGAACACTGCAACTTCAAGACACGAGAACACAGGTTCAAACTAAGGAAACAAAGTTGTAAACAAAAAATAAGACAGTTTACCTTTTAAGTGCTGATAAAAACATCAGAAATCACATTTTTAAGTGCTGCAGTGAACACGAGCTGAACAGTTGTGCTGCTAGAAACTGCTGCAAGTGCCACCCTTGGTTGCTCACTCAGTACTGAGGCCTTCACACCAAGGAGTGTTGTCCATGACTTTTTTTCAAAATGGAGTCCATTTACTGGAGGCCTGAGAAAGCCAATGTGACCCCCTTGTACCCACGGGAGTTTTAAAATGTTATGCTGTACTGAATACATCATGTGTTGGGATATGCACTTTGGCCATAATTAGCCACTGTTCAGATGCGCAGCCAAAGGGTAAAGGGAAGAGAGACAAATTCCACCAACACCCAGGTCCGGAAAAAATGGCCACCATGAACCGAGTACAGGATGAAAAACAAAGGCATCCACGGCCTCCATCCTGAAGTGAGGGGGCAACTGTGGAATGACTACACAGCTCACAAAACTTCAGCATGTCAGAACAATCATCGTCCAGCCTGCTGAAGAGGACCGAACACAAGGAGAAATATTCTGCAAGCTCACACGATATACCCTGCAAGTGAACCCCACAAAGCCAAACCCTAAGAACTGAAAGCTGAGCTATAATGAGGTCAGCCCCACATCCATATTTTGCCAATTCAAAATATGGTACGAGCCCCGAATATTTACTCTCATGTTTGAGGTGGTTCTTTATAATTTTCAATTGTCCTATATTTCTGATTTAAAGTAATGTACATATACTGCAAGTAAGAAAGGAAAGGACAGGTTTTGATAGCTTGTACTCCAGTGTATGGCTGAGAAGCTTTTGCCCCTTACATCTTTGGATGTAAGGGGCAGAGGATTCACGTAATCATGAATCCCTTGCTCCCTGTGCATGTGAGTGGGGGGGGGGGGGGAGGCCAGGTTCTGACCGCTGGTCTCTGGTAGGTTTTTGAGGATTCACAATACCCAATGTGACTTATAGGTGTGGAGTTTTCTCAGTGTGGCTAGCTACAGGAAGCTACCATTCAGCCCCTACAGAAAAACTTGAGAAAGGTAGAAGGATGGAGGTAGGCAATTCAGAAGAGAGAGGGAGGGAGGAAGAGGAAGAATGGAGATGGGAGAAACAGACTGACAGAAGTCAACACCCAAGACAGATGGGCAGGATTGCCCATCTATCCTGATAGATGGGTTTTCACTGCCCAGCCAAAAGATACAGCTAGGCAGAATTGTATGAATGAAGACACCACATGAGTCCAAATGCCTACCTGTATTTTAGTTCTGACACTGCTTCTGGTAGTAATGACAGAATATTTCCCTCCTGTAGAGCAAGCCATCTGTTTTAGAACTGCTGTTGGGATTGGGTGGGGACCAACAGCATATGTGAAGACTCGTACTGATTTGGTATAGTTATCTGCCAGGAATCTGTTGTAAGAAACAATAATATGCAATTACAAAAAATTATGTAAACAACACCTTTAAAATTTCCCGGTATACTATGTATTAAAACTTGTCATGATATAAAACTTGTCAACAATGCATGGCAAGCTGTGCAAAATAGCCATAGTGAAAGGAAGAGGTGCAATAGGCATGCTGAGAGTGCAATAGACATCAAAGGCCCAAGACTTTTCAACACTTTTCAACATTTGGTGCAAAACTGGCTGGCCTCGTGGTATTCAAAAGAGAACTTGATAAACATCTTTAAAGGATATCTGATTAACTAGGTTGTGCTCTAGGGAGCAACAAGAGACACCAAACCCTAGTACAAACCTAATAAGGCAAAGCAGAAAAGCCCCCAGGCAGAAAGGGGAAAAATAAGGAAAAACCCCCAAAAAGGGACAGAAATGGAAGCCCAGAACCCCCCCCCCCATCCTAGCATCTAACAATGGAGAATGAGCAACTAGGGAGAATCCCAGCACCAACCAGACATGTAAGTTGAATAATAATAATAATAATAATAATAATTTTTATTTAGGCAAAGGTACATACATAAAGAGATTTTACGAAGTTTGTTGGCTTTATAGATAGAGCTAGTATATACAATGCCTAAAGCCACTATTACGCAAAGCGTTTCGGGCAGGAAAAAACACTACTGACTAAAGCTTAAAACTAATGGGTAAAAAGAAAAAAATGCGTTGAGTACAAATAAAAATAGGGGTAAAAGAGGGGGGAACATTGTTGAAAAAACAGCACAAATACAATTACAAATTATTACAGAAAATTACATTAAAACAGCGTTGATTTGAAAAACAAAAAAAAAACAAAAAACATACATGGGTTGACCATAGAGGGGTAAGGTAGGTTACAGGGAATTTATTAGGTATAGCTTCGTTTTTAACTTAAACTGGTTGAGAGAGGTACTGTCTTTAACATGGTTGGGAAGGTCATTCCACATTCTGGGCCCCTTGATTTGTAGAGCATTTCTGGTTTGATTAAGTCGTACTCTAGGAATATCAAAACTGTATTTATTTCTGGTGTGGTGCTCATGGGTTCTGTTACAACCTTCTATGAAGCTGAAGGCCCACCTCTGCACGCTGGGTAGGTCTACACAAACCCAAGTGCTCCCCACAAGCAATAAACACTCCCGATCCATGGAAAGAGACAATCCAAGACAACCAGCTTATCTTAAGGGCAAGGACCACCACAAGCGAGAAGACTCCATAAGGGAGTGTATCCTAAACAAACCAGGGAAGATAAGCCAGACAGTGCTAGCGGTACCACTTCAGGAGCATCCAGGGAAGGGAACCCTGAGCACATGCACTCCATGCACACTAATCTTCTGGTTCACGCTACACAAATGTGAACAAGAACAGCCTCAAAGGCAGACACCACTTAGGGAAAACGGGAGACTGGAGTCAGAGCAACTTGGGCGGGTAACCAGACACCAGACACATCAGTATAGGAACTGGTGGAGAACCTGAATACATCATTAGCCACTGGCTGGCTGGCTGACCCAGGAGGCCACCTCCCAGGAGGGAGGCTGGTTGACCCAGCCAGCCTCCCTCCTCCCCTCAAACGGAAGGGAGGTGGGACAAACTAGCACGTGATAGTTTCACAAATTTTCAATTATTGTTTATATTGTTGGGGGAGGGGGGGATGGGTTCATGGTTTTGAGGCTGTAGTCTCAGTTCTAACTAAGCAAATGTCTGTTTTGTTTCATTGACTTTCAGGGTGCCTTCCTAAGGTGGTGGCAGAAATGAGGTTTTCATAGTACCACCAATTCCCTGAAACTCCCTGAGGAAGCCAGGTTCTGGCTTGTGGTCCCCGGTAGACCAATAAGAACTCTGTGACTGATGGCACCTATTAGTATGGTACTGTATCAATGTAGCAGCTTCAGGGAGCCACTAGGGGTTTCCCCCCCAGAAAAGTGACTGTACCAACACAGGTCTCTTAACCCATAATTTGCTCCTGTTACCCTCAAGGTGACAGGTGGTGACTGACAATGCACCTATCGCCTGGGAGACTAGAAGTGCTCTGCAATATTCAAAAGTCCAAAAGTCTCTATATATATACATCATTCGACACTACAGCCCTTTTGCCGTGGTTTGCCAAATTGGAAAAATTCCTAACAGTCTTAGGTTTCCCTCCTGGGCCTTAGTAAAAAGATGGGAATCATGTCACAAATATCACCATCTATGTACTGATGCCCATGCTAAGAACCATTGACACCATGCAAAATTTAAAGGATTTTTATTGACCTGGAAGACATTGGTAAATAGGAGAAATCTACTGCAAAGAGTTAATTTGAAAATTTTACCTCGGAATATGACATCATTCCTTAACATCATTATTGTGAAATCAAATGATTAGATTTTTTTGCATTTTTTCAACATCAGAAAGGAATGTTTTAAGATATATAGAGGATTTTTTCCGGAGAGTTCCCCCCTCCCCCTATTCCCACTGGCTTCTTGAAGCTATCTCTTGCTGAGATTGCTACATACTAAAGGATCACATCAGTCATGGAAGTTCTGTTTGGCTAGCTGGGGACCAGAGCCAGAACCTCGCCCCCTCACAGAGGCACAGGGAGCGAGTGACAATCCACCACCCTACCAGAAGAAGCCACCAGAGAGTCTCTTCAGTTTTACCGACAATTGAAGGGTTCACAGAAAATATAATCTCGTTTCCAAACGAGAAACAATCCTTTCTTGTTTCTTATTTTCAAATGAGAGTTATAAAAGAACTCCTCGGACAATTCACACAGAACAAGTGATTCACTCAAACTAGTTTGAAACTCATTAGTACTGATTTCTGCCACCAGGCGGCCCTGCCCCAGCACTCAATCACCTCAGCATCTCAGTTCTGTTACTGTTGCCATACAGGTTGAGAGGGTGGGAGAAATCATTTCATTGTGGGGTTGTTCTTTAGCTCCAGATGTGAGGTACCGAGGTGACCATCAAGGGCTGGGGCCTGGATACCTGGTGGCAGTAATAACAAGTACTGAGCTATGCAGACGATGAGTCACAATAACATGGCTGAAGATATGACCAAACCACACACCAGAAGATGAGAAGATGACGATGTCCTGGACCATTATCAAGTTAATTTGATAATGGTCCAGGACAGACTGAAATGTTGTCGTCTCCTCATCTTCTAATGTATTTTAGTATTAAGTTTTAGTCTTTAATGTTTTTCCTGCCCGAAACACTTTGCATAATAGTGGCTTTAGGCATTGTATGTACTAGCTCTATCTATAAACCTATCAATTTTTGTAAAAATCTCTTGTATGTATGTAACTTACCTGAATAAACATTTATTTATATTTATTTATTATTAATGTGTAGTTAGGTCATCAAGTACTGATTTAGTTTGAATGAACCCCTTTTTCTGTGTGAATCACTTGCAGAGTTGTTTGGTGGTTTCAAGGCTTCATTTTTCTGTGAATCCTCCAGTTGTTTGTAAAGCTGTTCTGTCTGAAGGCTTCTTGTGGTGAGATGGTGGATTGCCATCTGCTACCTGTGCCTTTATGAGGGGGTGGGAGGGGTGGATTTCATTACATTCAATGCTAGGATTTTATGCGTACCAGGAAATTTTGTTAATTTAGGTGCACAGTTAGGGGAGGGTTACTAGTAAGTATGTTATGGTACAATACACTGTTGCTGAGAATGCTAATTTGGCATGAATAATAATATGCACGTGCCTCTATAACTGTCCTGTAAATGCAATGAATTCAATATGTACACATGAAAAGTGAAATTCTAAAACACAATATTTTAGGCAACTGTTCACTGACTTGTTAAATACTTCCTCTGGCCACTCTGTTCCTCCATCACTGAAAAGCATGATTGTCTTGTGGCAGTTGGCACCTTCTCCTTCTTTCCGCGTACCTTCAAACTGAAGAATAAACACATATCAACACTGCCATTAATAATACTTCAAGACATAAATGTGTGTCATACTCATAAGAATTACGATATTTAATACAACCTGTTTATAATGAAGCAAAAATACACAAGAAGAATAAAGATATTGTATATACACACAAATAACTACAATAAAGGTAACATTAGCATTTTTGAACGATACCATAATGCTTAGGGGAAAAATTACCAGATATCATCTTTACTAGTATTCTAGGAATTTAACCCTTACTTATAACACTAGGCCTGTAAGGTTTATAATATGTACACACACAGGTACCATAACTGTAATATAGATACCTTTAGTATGTGCCCACACACTCAGAAAGGTAACTAATAAAAATGAAAAAGAACACGAACAACCCAGCAGATTTTCTTCCTATTGCAGGGTTGTACATGCCGCTATGATGGTATGTTCACTCACAGCATGAGTGATGCACAAAATTTAAATTTATACTTTATTATTAAAATGGCAAAAACACCACCTACACACACACTCACCCACCACTTGATCCTCTCTCAACCAGTTTAAGGTAGAAACGAAACACTACCTAATAAATTCCCTGTAACCTACCTTACCCCTCTATTGTCAACCCGTGTCTGTTTTTTTAAAAACAACGCTGTTTGTCGACCTAATTGTTATTTGTGCTGCTTTTTCAGTCATGTTCCCCCCTTTTTTTGTCTTTATTTTGATTTGTTCTCAACACATTTTATTCTTTATACTCAATTAGTATTAAGTTTTAGTCATTAATGTTTTTCCTGCCCGAAACGCTTTGCGTAATAGTGGCTTTAGGCATTGTATGTACTAGCTCTATCTATAAATTCATCAAATTTTGGAAAATCTCTTGTATGTACCTTACCTGAATAAACAGTTATTTAGTATTTATTTATTATAGATATCAGCCCTGGAAACCCAGGGGTCTCAGCCAACCAGCAAGCATTGGTGTGACCTGTTGGAGGTCACTGTCAGTTTTAACTTTAAGGTAAGTGATGTGAGCTATCCCTGGAACAACTAAATCTTTGCAGGTTCACTGCATATTATTGTTCAGTATATTACTTTGCATGCGTAGCCTGTTCCTCCCACCTTGCATGTGCCCTGTGTTGACATTTCAACCTGGCTATGGTATCAGGGTTACTCTCCCTGGTGGCTGGCTTGTCTTTACCTTGTCCCTTCAGTTTTCCTCCCTGAAGAGTCTGGCTGTCTCCTCTAAAGGCATCCCACTTCCAGGTTATTGGTCATTGGCTTACATCCTTCTGTGGGACCTGTTGATGGGGGAAGTGTCGGTTTCTAGCTGTGCCAGTGTGTTTCTTGTGTCTGGCTGTTCCTTTATGCTGACACCCTGATGCTGATAGAGAGGGTATGCTCAGTCACATACATGGCTATCCTGGACCCTGGTGGCTTGTGCCTTTTCTCACTGAGTGGCTATTAAGATTGGGGAGGTATTGGTGCTGTTTCCCCAGACATGTTTCCTGAGCCTGGCTTAACTGCTCGTCCACTGACCCTTAGGGCAGCCAATTTACCCTCCTCAGATCCCTTTTTTTTGGTGGTTAGGCATGACTTCACCTCTCTGCAGGCCTGATGCCACTGTTTGCAGTTTTAATAATTGTAAGTTGGTGCTCCTGGCCAACAATGGTCATTCTTGCTGTCTCTATCATTCTGCCTGTTAGGTACAGGAGTCCTTTCACCCTCGGATTTGTTATGTTTGTTCCAATTGAGCTTCTGTTTTAGTTGAGCCTCCCTTGTGGTCGGTGGCTTACTGGGCACTAACTGCTTTATAGAATTGGGACCACAGTTCCATCTTTGCAGCCACTTGCAGACCAAAGTAATGAAGCCATTGAACTTGTGCTGTTTTGTGAGGAAGTGGAGAGGTTAGTTAGAAACACATGTTAAGCTCACTTCTTCACCTTCAGGAGCCTAGTCATACAACCCAAAGATCTCAAATTAAGAATTTATGGCATTTCAGTCCATCTTGGAGCAATATCATATCCAGGATGGACCGATATTGCTCTTCATCTTCAGCCACATTATTGTCTGCATTCAGGTGGCTTCTGCAACAGGCATATGGCTGGGTCTCTCGACTTCTGATCACTCAGTTTTCCAGCATACTCTGTTGGTTCGGATCTCAGAGTGATGCAAGACCGAGGCTATGATGGCTCTAATGAAGGGAATGCAGGCAAGGGTTACCTTGTCCAGGTCATTGATAGAAGTAGCAGGGCCTTCTATCCTCCTCCATATCCCCTTTACTTTTTTGGAGTGTCCCTGGGGGGGCTCAGAGTCCCAGGGTTCGGTTCACAGAGTTCTCTGGGTAAAATCTCCTCACTTACAATAGGTTCACAAGCATCTGGAGGGAATTTTGCCTACACTCTGGGGCATTCTTCCTCGCGGGAGGACAAGGAGGAGGAAGAGAAACTCAGTGACATGAAGCTTCCAGAAGTGGATTCTTGATTGCACCTTTGACTATGATGTCTTGTGCCTATTCTAGGGGGGTTTATTGGTCTAAATAGATTCTTATCCCAACAATGTCATAGTATGAGCTGGATTCCTTTACACCACAAGTGTGTTTCAGGGTCTTGGTTAGTAAACGGGCTTAGTTTCATTTGTGTAGGTTTATGTCATTGTGTCTTTCCCTTCCTTCAGTGCTGTCACCCTCGTTCAGTGCCATTGTAAGAATTGGACCTGGTTGGACTGTAAATTATACCAACACTGGTTGGTATCCTGATACAGTGGGTAGAACTGTTGGCTCGCAACCAACTTGATACCCAGTTCAATTTTCAGGCCGTCCAAGACATTTGGGCACAATTTCCTTATATCTAGTGCCTCTGTCCACCTAGAGTAAATAGGTACCTGGAAGCTAGGCAACTGTTACAGTCTGTATCCTGGGAAAGGTTACCCATTAGCCTAGAGAAGTCCCAATAAGTCTACCAGTTTTTATATATCCAGAAACTGCTCCTATATTTTTTTCATCTCACCATAGGTCTCCTTTTATACCTCAGTTGAATAATGGATTTATATGTTGATGCAGATGATGAGTCACACTAGCAGTTGGCTGAAGATATGATGATCAAATCACACACCAGAAGATGAGGAGACAATGACGCCATCCTGGACCATTATCAAGTCAATTGTGATAATCAACTTGATCATTTATTTGTTATTTATTTAATTTATTTATTTATTTATATATATACAAGAAGGTACATTGGGATTGTGAGGATACATAGCATAGTACAGTAATTACATTCTTGTAAAGCCACTAGTACGCGCAGCATTTCGGGCAGGTCCTTAATCTAAGAAAATTTTAAGTAGGTAAATACTAGCAAAATTTTTAAAAATGATAACAGTTACATAGCAAGAAAAAAGATAAAAGATGAGAGAAAATTGTAGGTATAGTAATGGTTCAGTACTAATGGTCTAGTACTACTAAGTCCAGTATTAATGGTATAATGGTCCAGTACAGACCGAAACATCATCATCACCTCATCTTCTGGTGTGTGGTCTGGTCATCTTATATGTTGATGTTCTTAAGAGTAACACAAACTATTTGATCATGATGTACCTGTTTAAAAGCATTAAATGCAAAAGCGAGTGCATTGGAATAGCTGGCCATCCCTCCATCCAAGAGATCATCAATGGCTCGGAACAAGAGTTTCTTATTGCTGGTGCTGGCCTGCACTAATGGCTGGGTACACTCTTGATTGTCTGTTGTCTTATTGATCTGTAAAGAAAATTAGTTTTTATCTTTGCTCTAGATACATATTTTCCTTTTGTTATCAACTTTAGCATATACTGAACCTCAACACATAAAGTTGGTAACTGATAAATATGCATACTGCATTATATTTATACACATATAAGTGACACTGTTTTACACGTGTAATTTATTTCCCATTGTCAGGGACATGCAACTTGTTAGTCTTATTGAGTTTCCCCTACATCAATGACGTTTCCCAGGATGAAAACCTCAACAGTCGACTAACTGCTGGGTAACTATTTATTGCTAGGTAAAAAGAAGCATTTGGTGAAGGGAAATGTGCACAAATATCTCACCCAGCAGGGAAATAGGACTCGGGCTCAATCAGTTGAGTCGCATGTGTCAGCCACTCCGGCTTACAACATGGCCCTCTAAGCTTCACCAAAATGGTTATCATTTTGGGTAACGCAGTGATTGGTTCTAGGCTCAAGACTCTTGTGCATATTTATGCACCTGATGTTTCTGTTCACCTAGTAGTAAATACACACCTGGGAGATAGTCAACTGTAGTGGATTGCATCCTGCAAAAGGTTAGTCATTGTCTCAGAAAAGCCTCAATAACACTGACAGGCTTCATTACCCCAACAACAGGAAGCCATAAGTCACAACCATAAAGACCAATATCACTCTGCCCATACATAAAGCACAGATATGAAAGGTATTTCTTGTTTTGACATGAATAGATTAATTATTTACTTTATTTTGTCTTTATTTATAAAAAAATGCTTACATAGGTCGAGTCATAATATTCTTGCTGAAGATGAGGCAGCAGTGACAAAGCTTGCCATTCAAGAATACAGTATTTCCAAAGCCAAGGATTAAAACAATCGTGTACGTTAAAAACAAAACACATTTAATTTATTTTTAACACATATAATCCAAATAGCCAACGCAAACTATAGGGAAATGCGTCTCTCTGGTGGGTCCTCTCTGTAGCTACCCGAGCTACCCACCTGAAGTCTTCCAAATCCTGGTCCCTCGTCAGGCTCTAATTAATCATGAGCATCTACCAGAGCCTAGGTCAGAACCTGGTCCTCTCAAGAGAGGCATCGTGAAGTGGGGATACAAGATCACCACATTACCAAAGGGAAACCTCCCAAACAGCACCAAAACAAGCAAGATATATCATTTGCAACCCTGAGTTGAACTAAGTACACACACTTGTTGCCTAGGTCTAACTGCTAGTTAGATCACCTTGCAACCAGATGGCAGCCCTAGTGAATCAAGGGCTCTAGGCTGCTACCCCTTCCCTCTCTCCCTCAGTCTCTCATAAACAGCCTAAGTAAAGCTCCCCAAACACACCAGAAAGAAGGGAAGAGTGGAACTGGGAGATACAGAAGGAACCCACCAAAAGAGGCATTTCATGACATTTAAAGCTGAATTTCTGATAAGGTTCCTCTCTATATCTCCCAGAGCTATATCATCAAAATAAAAATTGACAACAAAGGGTTGATTGTACAGGGAGGGGAGTAGAAACATAAAAAACTTGCGTTGAATGTAATGAAACGCCATTTTGTGGGTGAGACTCAGAGGCTCCCGGAGCTTATCCAGGCTGATATGATAATGTCAGACTTTGGCATCAGTCATGTGTATGGAGTTCTGCGGGCCTACTGGGAACCACAAGCCAGAACCTGGCCCCCCCTCACAGAGGCATGAGGAGCAATGGCCTATAGAAACCCCGTGTGGTTGGAAGCATTCTATGTCTGGCATCGACCGGGTTAGGCACCCAGAAAGATAGGGGTCCCAAAACAAACCCCTATTCTGGTGAAAATTGTTACAAAAAGCCAAACAAGTGGATAGAACTCCCCAAACAGAAACGAGCAAACGAGTATGACATCACACGTCACTGCGCCACCATCTGCGCAGCTCCCCCTCCCTGGGAGGGGGAAGGGGAAGGCCCAGAACCCCGCACCGGCTATCCAACTCTCAGTTCTGAGGCTGGACATCAAAACTTCACGAAAACTGCAGACTGGAGGGAGGGAGGGATGCCAGAGAGCCTCCAGGACTCACCCAGAAAATGTAGTTTCATTACATTCAACGCTGGTTTTCTGGGTGGAGCCCAGTCGGCTCTCCGGAGCTACCTACCCAAAGACGAAAACAAGAGGGACCTAACCCAGGAGGCGGAAGTCGCACACACCCCAGTGCGAAGCGGAGACAAAACTGCAACTGCCAACCCAAGGTCACACAGGCCCTTGCCTCTGTGAGGGGGCCAGGTTCTGGCTCGTGGTTCCCGGTAGGCCCACAGAACTCCATACACATGACTGATGCCAAAATCTGACATTAGCGTATCAGCCTGGATAAGCTCCGGGGAGCCGACGGGGCTCCCTCCAGAAAAACACGAGCCCAAACAATTGCCCAGGACCAAAAGGCAATGAAAGTAAGCAGTGCTGGAAAAGGCAGACAGGACAGATCAGCAAAAAGATGCAGGAGTATGAATGAAATAATCTAGTGGGCAAGCAAGAAAACCAGCACTGTAACAATGAACCAGGGAAACAGAGAACAACAAAACAAAGAACCCACGAGTCCATTCTAAATGAAACAGAGGGACAGTGCACCACCCTCACCAGGCAGAGCACAAGAGGAAACCCCCCTTTTCTGCTAGCATGACCAAGCCCCTCCCCCCCTCAAGAGCCACCAAGAAGACACCCAAAAAAATGGCGACCAGACCAGAAGGGAGACACTGACAAAAAGGAACAATGAAAAATGCACCCAAGCCAGACGAAAAAGGCTCAGAAGGGGTGGAGTCATCCAGAGACGAAAAGGCCCAAAACAATGTAGAAGGAAAAGTTTGCTGAAAGCTGACAAGAGGCACTGTGAGGCAAAAAAAAAAAAAAAAAGTGACAGGAACAAGCATCAGTTGACAGCCCACTCCAACCAGGACAAAAAAGATAAGAGCACCTAACCTAACCCCAATGCCAGAAGGCAAAAAAAATGTCAAGGGTCCCAAACGAATATTAAACAGACAGCAGCAAACACATTAGCCTGAAAAGATACACAGGTCTGAATACAGAGCATGAAGACCCAGAACCAGAGGAGAATAGGTTACCAAGGAAGAACTTCCCCACTGACATAAGTCAGCAGAACATAAAATTTGGGACAATGTCAAACTGATGGGAAGAAAGAAATCCCACTTACCTCTACATAAAGAAAATATCAACACCATGAATGTCTCACAAACAGAGATAGCAAAAATATATGGCAGAGCATGACAAGCACTAACTATATCTTGTTGAACAGAATGCAATAGAGTGAGGAATCATTGGCAAGAACTGGTGACACACCCTGCATGCAAGCAAATCTCACAGAGCCAAATGCAGAGAACTGGAAACAAGCTACAATAAGGTGAGCCCCATTTTGTTAGAATCTGACCCAATCCACACTGGGAGACAAAGCACCACCAGAATACAGGAGGGGAGGGGGGAGGGGGGGGAAGCAGACCAAGAAGCATTCCAGGAGAACAAATGCCCACGAGAGCCTCACAAAACCCTTACTGAGACCCTTCAAGGGGTCCCGGTAGTACAGTCGAGTTCGTTCTTGACATACAATCAAGAATTCCGGGTTCGAATCCCGGACAGGACAGAAATGGTTGAGCACATTTCCTTTCGCCTAATGCTTCTGTTCACCAAGCAGTGAGTAGGTACTCAGGCGTTACTTAGTTTGTTGTGGGGGTTGCATCCTGGGCAGGGTCAATAATTTTGACCTTGGAGGGAGGGGATACCTCGATATAAGTCTACTGTGTATGAATACATTCTGCCTTCATGTCCCCCAACACAATGAATTATATTATTATAAAACTACCTTGAATTCCAGCAGCAGGATAGCAGCCATCAAAGCAGCAGCAGATGCCACCAGAAGTGCAGATGCCACTCTCACAAGAAACAAAGCCCAGAAATTGCCACAGAATGCACAAGTAGAGTTGGAATATTGCTGGAAAAACAAGACTGACAACAAGCTGCTACCTACTCCCATAGTGACAAGGGTGGAACACACGACAACCAAAAGGTCGAAACTAAGAACCCCAACTGACTCCTGCACCACCCTCTGCTCCCCACAAAGAAGAGAATACAAATACCCTGTCAGGAGGAGGAAGCCAATAAATGCAATAAACCCCAGGCATCTGCAGCTAAAGCATCAAGCCCACCATGCAGATGACCTATAAACATCATCCAAATCTTGAAAAAATCGACCCTGAAACACCCAACAACTCTGGAGACAAGGCAAACTAAACCCATCCACATGCCAAGAAGTGGGACAAAAATTTCATTGCGCCCAAGCCTGAGGAGGGCTGTAAAGCACAGCGGCAAGCCTAAACAGCAAAGAAGCAGCCTGAGCATAGAATATGGCATGGGAACAAAAACAAAGATCTTCTTCAGTAGGCACTTGTGAATCAATGACGTCTGATCTGATTTTGAATTATATGAGCATCAACCTAGGTGGGCAGTCCAAGAGCTACTGAGGGACCTACCAGAAAAATAGACTTCATTACATTCAATGCAGAATTGATGTTCATATTCAAGTCAACAAATAAATTATAAATACACTAATAACATCTACATGTAGGGATTACCTGGCAATATGTACAGTTGTTGACCCACTCAGTTGTATTGTTAAACTGCAAAGGAAAAACAATGATAAATTTTATATATTTTACTTGATGTGCATAAAAGTATATATTTAACAATTTTAAAGAATTTTCATAAAAGGTTTTTACCAGCCAGCATTCTTGTCTGTGCTGGAGAAGGACAGAGGGAAAAACAGCAGTGGGAGTAACTGTGAGTGGAATTTTTTACAGAACTGGAATAGTATGCATTTATTGTTATTGGCATATATCAGAACAAGAGCGAACTGAAGAAAATATTATAAACGCAGAGATGTATGTTTTAGGTACAAAAGGGAGAACAGTGAAATAAAACGAGTGGTGGGAGGATTGAGTGGGTTAGTTGTGTGACAGAGAATGGATGAAAGTTGTAAGGAGGTGAAGAAAGGAGTGGGTGTAGATTTATTTAAGCATAATTAGAGAACACATTGTAAGCAGCGAAGGTCAATGACTATTCAGTTTTCTCCCGACTAATTCAAGAAATGTTGCTGGAGCAACACTGGATGCTTTTAAGAGAACTAGACAAGTTTCTGCTGGGGTTACTGGATTAGTTCTTCAAGTCAGTTCTAAACCCGATGAACAAATCCACAATGAACTGATGAGACAGGAGGGTGGCAAGGAGCCACCGAGGCTCCTCCAGAAATTGTTATTTCATTACTTTCAATGCTGGGTTTCTGGAGGGAGCCCCCTTGTTGCTCCCTGAAACAAATCTAACCACAGAGAACAAAAAAGGGACTTACCAGGAAGGAGGAGAGATAGCAGGCATTTAAGACAAAGTGAAACCAGGCCGGGTAACATGGCCCAAAGCCATACATGCCTAACTGCACCCAGGAACATTAACCAAATATCAGGCCACCAACACCCTCTTAGAACACTAAAACCCCCATGCCCAAATATCAGCCTAAGACATATTAGAGAAGATGACTGCCAAAGCCATGTATTTATGAACATCATGGGGTCCAAAGCAGACCTCAGACTGGCTACAGTTGGTGACACTGTGGACAATCTGAGAAATGTCTTGTTCCAAGGACAGCCTTGGAACAGGGAACCAAGGAGACTGGATCAACAAACAAGGTGTCTACCGAGACAGAATCAGTGGCATGCAGGTAGGTGACATGAGGCATGAAATGACCCAAAAGGCTCTGTAATTCTCGACAATAAGGCCACTGCTTCCCCAGCACTGGCAGAAGTACCAGTTGACACCTTTTGAGTCACTGATTTTCTTGGCTGTTGGAATTAGTTTGGGACACCAGGATGACTTTCCTCTCTCTCCACAGTCAGCCAATGTCAGCAGATGTGGGGCCATCTGTGTCTGGATAAGACTTCACATTACCCAGTTGGTTCATCCCCAGTTCAAAGTCCATTTTGTGGGCATGTCATTTCTTTCTTGTCTCTTTTTAGAGAACTGTTTTTGACCAAATACTGTGACATCCTTTCACTAGGTCTTAGCAGAGCAAAGCTTACTTGCTTTTGGAGTAATTATTGCTTCTGCATTCCTCAAGTTGTCTAGTTGTTGTGTGGTTATGCCCCATAAGCACAATTAGGTGAGTACATGTATATATATATGTATATACATATATGAAGATACATGTGTGTAAATCACGAAAAATAAACACGTGATTAAAAATATGACAGTGTCAGACCACGGAGGAAGAATTGAAACAGGAATTTCCTTAAATATACATGTATATGTGGATTGAGTTAGCTGGCCAGGTCCAGGGTGATCAAGGCGGCCAACAGGTGGTGTACACGTGTTGCCAACTAGGAGGTCATCTTTGCCTCCCCACTGCCGCAAGAGGAGGAAGGGGGGGGGGAGAGGGGGCCAGATTTTGGTCCTGATTTTTCGGTAGATGGTCTTGAGTCAACAGTGTGGTGTGGTACCAAATGTTTGGAAGCCTCAGGGAATTACTGAGGGAGTCTTCCCAGAGAAGTAACAAACAATCTCTTTTCTACAATTTCTAGTACAGTACAAGCACAGTAAAAAAAATTTGCTGGCAATTATTATACAAACACACTCCAGGTTTCATCACACTACTCGGTACATTTAAATACATAATTAATTGGACCCAAGTTCATTTCTGTACACCTGATATGTCTGTTCACCTATCTGTAAATAGGTACCAAAGAGTTAATATATATAATATATATATATATTATATATATATATACATACATACATATCCCTCATATCTCTGACCTTCACCTCACTGACCTTCTTCCCCCTGATCTCACCCCTTCCTATGTTGTCCTTTTATAAGCACTAGCCTGTGTATATATGTTTTACAGGCTCACCATCGCCTGTGCTACTTGGAACATTTTGTTCCGAGTAGCTGAATCTAAAACAACAAAACAACAATATACTGTATATCTGTTAGAGTTGATGAAGCCCTTAGAGGTAACATATTGTCTACAGTTTACATATCCCTCATATCTCTGACTTTCACCTCACTGACCTTCTTCCCCCTGATCTCACCCCTTCCTATGTTGTCCTTTTATAAGCCTCATATTGGTGCTCACCATCGCCTGTGCTACTTGGAACATTTTGTTCCGAGTAGCTGAATCTAAAACAACAAAACAACAATATACTGTATATCTGTTAGAGTTGATGAAGCCCTTAGAGGTAACATATTGTCTACAGTTTGAGTACAGCCTCATATTGGTGTTCCTCTACCATTGTCTACAGTATGAGTACAGCCTCATCTTGGTGTTCCTCTACATTGTCTACAGTTTGAGTATAACCTCATATTGGTGTTCCTCTACCATTGTCTACAGTATGAGTACAGCCTTATCTTGGTGTTCCTCTACATTGTCTATAGTTTGAGTACAGCCTCATCTTGGTGTTCCTCTACATTGTCGTACTGTGTGCTTTTGTCTATCAAATTATTTCTTGCCCATGAAACAATCCATATTCTAAATTGCATTCAAACAAATTGTATATATATATTTTAATATTTTGTTAGAACACACTGAAGTACTGATTGCTTTAATATAATGCAAGCAATACTGACAAAATAAAAGCAACCAAAAACTGAGTCATAAGGAGTATTCTTATTAAAACTAAATGGTTATTGCCAAGTTACTTTAAGATAAATTAGATATAAAGACATAACTTACAGCTGCAACATTTACAAAGTCATTTTCTCCGAGAGTATCAATTAGAGTCTTCACTGCCCACTTCATTATGGTAAATGTCTGCCCATGAACACTTCCACTCCTGAAAAAAAAAATTATGCTGAGCTATCCTTCAGAATATATTTCAGATATTACTTCACTAGAAATCAAACAAGAAGTTCAAACACTTTTCTGAGTTTAAGTTACACTGAGCTGTATCACATACAAAATTCTGAACAATATGAACAAGCAGAATGTTAAATATGGTATTGCTCAGGTTAACTATACTGAATGTATCAGTGGAACACAGACTCTTGGAGTACTCTCCAGAAAGTCAATGTTTTGACAGGTATATTAAAGGTATCCTGTGCTACTGGACTGTATAATATATTTTTGTTGATAATTCAGTTTATAATAAAATCAACTGCAAGCAAAGGTAAGATACATGAAGATTCCACAAAAATCATTTACAAGAAGCCCATGATTTGCACTATGATCACATTCCAGTAAACTTGTGTAAAACAAAAAGCAAGTGTTGACTGTAAAGAAATGCCATTTACTAGTAGATCCCCAGTAGCTTTCTGAGCTTAGCTTGCCTTCCACCAAGCCTTAAACCAACACACCAGGCCACTGAGTCCTTTCTATACAACAATACAATACAATACAATACAATTTTACAATACAATTTTATTTAGGTAAGGTACATACATACAATAAATTTTTACAAGGATTGGTTGACTTATAGGTAGAGCTAGTACATACAATGCCTAAAGCCACTATTACGCAAAGCATTTCGGGCATGATAAACTTAAATGACAAGCTTAATACTAATTGAGCATAATGAGTAGAATGAAAACAAGAAATGAAAACATAGATGAAAATGCAGCACAAATACAATTATACAATTATACAAATACTAATTATTCTATTAGAAGAGGACTCAGAATCCATCTCACTTTGTGAGGCAAGCAGAAACAACGGGACCAGAGATCATACACACAACTAGGGAAAAACAAACCAAATACTGGAGGGCCAGGTCCCAAATCTACACAGTAAAATAACAACATACTGGAGTGAACGATATGGAAAAAATGCAAGATTGAACCAGTGAAGAGCAGAGGTGCCATAGGCACAATCAGAGAACACTGTATAAACATCAGAGGTCCAGTGAAGAGCAGAGGTGCCATAGGCACAATCAGAGAACACTGTATAAACATCAGAGGTCCAGTGAAGAGCAGAGGTGCCATAGGCACAATCAGAGAACACTGTATAAACGTCAGAGGTCCGCGGTTGTTCAACGTCCTCCCAGCGACTATAAGAAATATTGCCGGAACAACCGGGACATATTCAAGAGAAGACTGGACTGTTTTCTAAGAGAAGTTCCGGATCAGCCGGGCTGTGGTGGGTATGTGGGCCTGCGGGCCGCTCCAAGCAACAGCCTGGTGGACCAAACTCTCACAAGTCGAGCCTGGCCTCGGGCCGGACTTGGGCAGTAGAACAGCTCCCAGAACCCCATCAACCAGGTATATGTGGGCCTGCAGGCCGCTCCAAGCAACAGCCTGGTGGACCAAACTCTCACAAGTCAAGCCTGGCCTCGGGCCGGGCTTGGGCAGTAGAACAACTCCCAGAACCCCATCAACCAGGTATATGTGGGCCTGCGGGCCGCTCCAAGCAACAGCCTGGTGGACCAAACTCTCACAAGTCGAGCCTGGCCTCGGGCCGGGCTTGGGCAGTAGAAGAACTCCCAGAACCCCATCAACCAGGTATATGTGGCCCTGCGGGCCGCTCCAAGCAACAGCCTGGTGGACCAAACTCTCACAAGTCGAGCCTGGCCTCGGGCCAGGCTTGGGCAGTAGAACAGCTCCCAGAACCCCATCAACCAGGTATATGTGGGCCTGCAGGCCGCTCCAAGCAACAGCCTGGTGGACCAAACTCTCACAAGTCGAGCCTGGCCTCGGGCCAGACTTGGGCAGTAGAACAGCTCCCAGAACCCCATCAAGCAGGTAAACCAGAAAGCTTAGGCACAACAAAACAAGCAATTGCCTGAATGAAATGAGGAGCCTAAAGGAATAACAAGACAGATGATCAGGATATGGGGTAAATACCCTAACTGGGAGGTTCTCCAGCTGCAACCAGATGGCAGCCTAGATCGTCTGGGGTCTCAGCCAGCTGTTAAGTTGGATAGATGGCTGGGTGGTTTGTTGGCTCAATGACTGGCTGGATGGGTGGCTGAGAAGTGTATAGCTATTAACCATATGACTTATTAGCAGGCTGGCTGGCTGGACGGCTGACTGGCTGGCTGCACAACTGACTGGCTGGCTGGATGACTGATTGGCTGACTGAATGACTGACTGGCTGGTTGAACAACTAACTGGCTGGCTGAATGACTGACTGACTGGCTGGATGACTTGTAGCTGGTTGGATTACTGGGTGAAAGATTGGGTGACTATGGGTGGGTGGTTGGCACGATGATCAACTGGATCATTATGGATTAACCTAGGGCTTTTTATTACCCTGTTAATTAACCATTACTAAGCTAATTATCTTCAAGATCATTTTTTTATGATTATTATTATTTTTCTTATTATTTTTTATTTTACATTTATATTGTCAGTCTCTACTGATTTTTTGTGTTTTATTTTATGTAACTTCTGTGTCCTCCCTGGCTATCTATTGGATCTTTATTTTACTTCTAAATTGTTACTATTTTATTGTATCTGCTTTTATTCTTGTGTTTTGCTTTATCGTGTATCTTGTATCGTGATCCCTCTGCATCTCTATGCACACTGATATTGATCCTGATCAAAATCTTCTGTCTCATATCTATACCAACCAGCACATTGATCATCATTATTGTAAGTATTTCACAGCACACCAGGCTAAAAACAAACTCCAAAATAGCACCTGTCTATCAGTTTATAACCAAAATGTTAGATCACTTGGTAAACATTTTGACGATTTAAATGCACTACTCACAGCACTAGGTACTAACCTATCGTTCATTATTTTAACAGAAACTTGGCTAAATAAAGACTATACCCAACTCTACAACTTAGCTGGTTATAAAGCCATTCATAACTGTAGGCCTAATAAAAAAGGTGGTGGCACAGCTATATATTACCGAGATACATTTATCTGCAACAGTGTTATTAGTGACAGAGATGACTACTGTGAATATACTTTTGCTCAGTTTACAATTAAATCCCTTAAATCCTCTTTGACTATTGGAGCCATCTATAGATTTCCTAATACTAACATAGCTTCTTTCTCAGACAACCTAAGGAATCTTATTATAAACAACAATCTCAACAAAAACCACATCATTCTGGGAGGAGACTTTAATATTGACCTGGGTCAACAAAACTGCTCTCAAGTTGACTATTTCCTTAACAGCATGAACTCCTGTATGCTAATCCCCACTATCACCAAACCTACCCGAGTCACTCAAACATCAGCCACTACCTTGGACCACATATGGACAAACATAACAGCTCCCCTTGTATCTGGTATAATCTACGACAGAACAACTGACCACTATCCTACCTTTCTCATAGCGAACATGGACATAACACCACCAAAAAGCAAGAAATTTTCATTTAGGCTACACAGTGAATCAGCTTTAGACAATCTTACAGAGGCACTTCACAATATTAACTGGGATTCTGAATTCATTAATACCCATGATATAAATTCATTAGCTAACCTCTTCCTCTCCAAAACTCTAAGCCTCTACAACCTTCATTGTCCCTTCTTACAAAGCAAGTAACTGACAAAAGATTAAACAATCCATGGCTCACAAATGGCATTCTCAACTCAATCAACAAGAAACATGAATATGAAAAGAAAGTTAGGATTGGCCTAGTTTCAAGGGAAGTAGCTAAAAGGTACTCATCAATGCTTACCAGTATCATAAGAAAGGCAAAACTTGCATATTATGTGAATAGATTCAATGAAGCAAAAGGTAACATGAAAAACACTTGGAAAACTATCTCTAGTATCCTAGGAACTAAACAACACTCACATAACCAAATAAAACTCTACAAGGATGGGGATATACCGTCAACTGATTTAGAAATGGCAAATGAATTTAATAGTTTCTTTTCATCGGTTGGTGCTAATCTTGCCAGTAAAATCCCACAGACTCAGACACATATTAACACATATCTCTCAGGCAGCTATCCAAACTCTCTTCTCCTTTCACCAATCAGCCCGGCAGATGTTGTGTCCATCATACACTCTCTAAAAACCAAGGCAGGGAACACCAGTGAAATTCCGTCCATTGTGTACAAGAGAGCCTCCCATGCCCTTGCCCCACCCATAGCACTACTGTTCAACAAATCTATAGAGTGTCACACCTTCCCTGATATCCTCAAAAAAGCAAGAGTAACGCCAGTCCATAAAGGAGGCAATCCGGCGGACATAAACAATTATAGACCAATATCAAATCTACCCATTCTATCAAAAATATTTGAAAAAATTATTTACAAACAGCTCTATTCCTACCTCGTAAAATTCGACATACTCAGCCCCTGCCAGTTTGGCTTCCGGTCCCAAAAGAGTACCAATGATGCAATCATTAGTCTCCTTGACATTATCTACTTAGCCCTTGACAAAAATGAGTTTCCGATTGGACTCTTCATTGACCTAAGAAAAGCCTTTGATACTGTTAATCACAACTACCTCTTATTTAAACTCCGGCATTATGGAATCCGAGGCCTTGCCCTTGACTACATCCGATCCTATCTTAGTGACAGACACCAATATGTAACCATCAATGATACAACTTCTTCCACTCTACCAATTACCGTTGGAGTGCCACAGGGCAGCATCTTAGGACCTCTTCTATTTCTTATATATATAAACGATCTGCCTAATGTCTCTAATATTCTCAAACCTATATTGTTTGCTGACGATACTACCCTTATCTACTCAAACCTCAACCCACATACACTAAATAATGTTGTGAATAATGAATTAAAAAAAGTCCACTTATGGATGTCAACGAACAAACTAACATTAAACATCGAAAAGACTTACTACATCTTATTTGGAAACAAATCATCAAATGCAATTCAGCTACAGATAGACAACATTAACATCAGTAATAAAAATGATGGCAAGTTTCTTGGCCTATTCCTAGACAAGAGACTCAACTTCAGCACCCACATTCAACACATAACTAAGAAAGTCTCTAAGACAGTTGGTATACTCTCCAAAATCAGATATTATGTTCCTAACTCTGCTCTCCTCTCACTATATTATGCACTAATCTACCCCTATCTTAATTATGGTATCTGTGCATGGGGGTCTACCACTGCAAACCACCTTAAGCCCATCATCACACAGCAAAAATCTGCTATCAGAATAATAACTAACTCTGCTTTCAGACAACACTCAGCTCCCTTGTTTAAATCTCTAAACTTGCTAAATATTAACTCCTCCACACATTCTCTTGTGTCAACTACATTTACAAAACCCTGTTCTTAAATGCAAACCATGCTCTGAAACTCTCCCTGGACAGATGTAATAGGACCCATTATCACCACACCAGAAATAAATATCTCTTTGATATCCCCAGGGTCAAACTTAATCTGTGTAAACACTCTATGCAAATTAAGGGACCTAGTCTATGGAACTCACTCCCTAGTGAATTGAAAAACTGTAAAACTTTTGCCTTATTTAAAAGCAAAACCAAAAAGTACCTAACTTCATCTATTTAGTTTCCTACACTGAGCTTTAATTTGCTCTGTACCTAGTGGTACCCAATCTCCTAATTTTTATGTAATATCAAACAACCTTATCATTGTGTTCATTGCTGTCTTCTTTTATGTGCTAGCCATATGCTGTATTGTGACTACCAATTTTTGTCAACTACCATTCAAGCTGTCATTGCAATCAATCTTATATTGTTTCTGCTGTATTGTGCCTACCAATTTGTTGTCAACTACCATTTTAAGCTGTCATTGCAATCAATCATAGCTACCTATGTGCTTTAATATACTGTACCTATAATTTTCTCTCATCTTTTTTTTTTTTCATTCCATGTAATCTGTTATCATTTTTTTGTCTATAAATTTTGCAAGTATTTACCTCCTTAAAATTTTCTTAGATTAAGGACCTGCCCGAAACGCTGCGCGTGCTAGTGGCTTTACAAGACTGTAATTACCATAATTGTATCCTCACATTCCTTATGTACATTCTTGTATATGCATAAATAAAAAAAAAAATAAAAAAAATTATGCCAGGCTGGTTCAATGACCGGTTGGTTTGCTGGCTGATTAATCTAACTGGCTGGCTGGATGATCAACACTGCTGTTTAGAAAATGGCTGGCACATTGATTCAGAGAAGTTTGAACATGTTTCAAACCAGTGTGCATGACTGGCTTTCCCATGAGGCAATACATTTATCTTATTGCATAAAGTTAAATTTATTTTACTCAGAAAATTTGAGTAAATGTTTACATGAAGTACTGTAGTTATTTGATTTCAATAATGAACATCTACACTTACATAACATATATAAAGCAACTCTTTAAAATTTACCTGTCCATTAGTATGATCATGTCCTTGGGTGCCACCGAGCCTTGGACGTACCATGGACGTAGTCGGGCATCATACAGATCAATAAGATTAGGTGGAACATACCAACTGGGGGAAAAAAAAAACTCCATCTCATTAACCTAAAAAGTTAACATCGATACGAACAGTACTGTATATCCATAGGCACATGAAGTTGAATCCATCCTCACCCTTGCCAAAAATATGCATTAACCCTTGCACTGCTCACCTATTTTCGGCAAAAACGTCTTGGTGCAATTGTCAAGGACATATTTTTGTTATTTTTACAAATGTTCAGGTAAATTTAATGTTAAAATGTTTCCAAAGTCAACTATTTCCATTTCAAAACACAAATAGTAATGAAAACATTAAAAAACATTAAAATATAGCCAAATTAAAAAACAAAAAGCACAACTCTCCGAGCGCCTAAAGGCGCTTTGCGCAGTGCAGTGGTTAAGATAAATATGCATATGTCTCTCTTGCCTATTTATTGCCTGCATCAACTTCCTCATTACAATCGAGTTGAGAATGGTCCAGGATGGACCGAAACCACTACACCACTACACCACCAGTCTCCATGGTGTAGTGGTAAAACACTCGCTTGGTGTTCCACGAGCGCTTTGTCATGGGTTCGTATCCTGGCCGGGGAGGATTTACTGGGCACAAATCCTTAACAAAATTTAACCCCCTATTTAACTCAACAGTAAAATGGGTACTTGGTTGTAAAAACGGCAGTTCCATGGGTTAATAATCCTGTAGGTGAAAAAGCATCTCCTGTTCTCACTCCTACATTGTGGCTTGTTGAGCTTAAAACCATTGTTCATTGCTTGTGTTACATCTGACCTTCTGAAGAAAATATCCGGATCAACATCCTCTAACATGTTCAGTATTTTTAAAGTTTCAGCGAGATTCGCCCTGTCATGCCTGGTTTGCAGTGTTGATAGCCCTGTGGCCTTCAAGCATTCTTGATACGGGAGATGACTTAGCTCTGGAATGACTTATGTTGCCCGGTGTTGTATCTTCTCAAGAGCAATTATGTCCTTCTGGAAATGAGGCCTCAATGCACCAGAGATTTATACAGTTCAGCCATTACCTTCTTTTCCTTATAGTCAAAAGTATGCTTGATTATCCCAAGAGTTTGGTTAGTTTTTCCTGACTGCTGCATCCACCTGTTGTGCAACTTTAAATGAGTGGTGGATTTTGACTCCAAATGTATTTCATTTATCCTTTATTCATTTAAATGGATAAAGAATGCAGTATTGTAACTGATTTTGCAATGGAGCTCAGAATGGGTGGAATAAACTACAGGTACTAGTAAGGAGTGCAGTGAATGTTGTACCTTAGAAAGTTTTAAAACTAGGTTGAAAATTTATGAAAAAATGAGGAAATGTTTATAATTAAAATATTCCATAGAATACATGATCAATACATTGGAAAAGAAGTGACTAGTGAAGTAATATAAATATCTTCACATTACCATTTATTTATTTCTCTATATCCTTCACACACATATATTTGGAAAACTATCCACAAATATGTCCACTAGCAACAGTATTGTATAAGCAAACAGCAGTACAGTACTTGCCTGGCAGCTGGATACACTCTCATGAATCCTGTTTGTGCTCCGAAATACTGCCAAGAGAGCGTTGGATCACTTTCAAAATTCTCTTGAAATACTCTGTCCAACGTGGATGACCAGAGCAGGCCATTCAATATTTCTGGATCTACAGTAATTAAACAAAAATTGTTACATAAGCTGCATTCAATATATAAAATTCAATTCTTCAACACTTTGGTACTACAGGGTACTATTTTTCAAACTGTATAGGCTAAGTATAATACCATGATGATATGAAACTACTGCATTTGTTATTAAGCATCCTTTGATTATTCATTTAAAAGATTTTAAATACAGTATTCAGTATAAATAAATTAGCATGTATGACTACATTTTATCAGCATACAAACATTCAATAAATTTATTTAAATGCTATAATAAGATACTGATTAGGAAACTGATTACATATATGCATTTTCTGTCACAGGTGGAAAACTAATATAAATAGTATATTTCATTCACCTTGGGCATCAGGTGCCTCAAACACCCATCTTCTGACGTGAGAGGCAGATGCTCTATCGACTGTACTATGTGTTAGCCTTCTGTGCCCGAGTGGTAGCCACAGAGATAGGCCATTCCCATCTGGGCAGCGGTTAGTTGCCTTGGGAACCTTCTCTTTTAAAGCTAACCCATAGTACAGTTGGTAAAGCATCCACCTCTCGCATCAGAGTCTTCGAGACAAATATAAGCGCCAAAAGCACTATGATATCTTGATGTTTCTTTACATTGGCGTCAGCACTTTGTGGTCTGGCATGGTGGCACACAGGTAAATTGAGGTAAACCTAATAACAATAAATATTCAAAAACAAAAGACGCAGAAAAGATTTCTCAAAATTATTATATAGCATATTACTTAGTACAGTGCTGACTTAACATCAATGTCCCTGAATAAAAACATACATGTAATCAGACCATTCCCAAATCAGTAAAAAATATATGAATGAAGTGTTGGCTTCCCACACATAATAGCTTAATATGTGCAGATGATGAGTCACAGTAAAGTGGCTGAAGATATGATGACCAAACTACATACCAAAAAATGGAGAAACGACAACATTTTGTTCTGTCCAGGACATTATCACACATTTTTTTATTTATTTTATATATTTATTTATTTTTTTATATACAAGAAGGTACATTGGGTTTGTGAGACTACATAGCATAGTATTTACAATCCTGTCAAGCCACTAGTACTCGCAGCGTTTCAGGCACATGACTTGATAATGGTGCAGGAGGGCCGAAACGTCATCGTTTCTCCATCTTCGGATGTGTGGTTTGCTCATCATAGCTTAATATACTAAAAATAGGCCACACATATAACAGCTAACTATGTTAAGTATAAGCCTCACACATAATAGCCAACTATGCTAACCATAGGCTTTACACATAATAGCTAACTATGCTAAGCATAGGCCTCACAAATATCAGCCCACACAGTTTAGCATGCTTAATGAGGGCACAAAAATACTCTTCAGCATATTTATTACTTACTCTCTACTGACTCATCTCAGGAAAGTTAGTTTTGCATCCCATAAAACTATTAAAGGGTTTTAAAGGTTAGCAATTCCCCATCATAACTCACAAACTATAAATAATAAAAACTATGATATTTGATGGATCTATATATTAGGAAAGATGTGAAAACAAATCTACTTTGGATGAAAATCCAACAAGGAGATTAATAACATCAACCCAAAGCTGGAAATCATCTTTCATGTGGACCTTAAATTGGCATTAAGTTAAAATTCTTGTATTTAATAATTTACAGTTATCTTTATTGAATGTGTAATTTTAATGACAGCTTTAAACAAAATTCATCATTCAAGGACCAAGTGATGCATTTTACAACCAACTGTAAACAGTTTACAGAGTATTGCAATATACGAAATTTAATCATTAAACTTAAACCATGTCATGTCTAATCTTGAAACCAACCAATACCTGACTTTGAGACAAAATTCTGTGCCATATAGTTAAGTTGTGATGCTGAACTTAGGGCCTGTCAACAGTGTTAGCCATTATGAAGTTGAGAACTTTCATGTACAATTACATTATGTCTTAGGGCCACTGTAGATGCATGCTAGTTTTTTTTTTTTTTTTGAGATATATACAAGAGTTGTTACATTCTTGTACAGCCACTATTACACGTAGCGTTTCAGGCAGGTCCCTGGAATACGATCTCCGCCGCGAAGAATCGTTTTTACAACCAAGTACCCATTTTACTGTTGAGTTAAACAGAGGCTACAGTTAAGGATTTGCGCCCAGTAAATCCTCCCCGGCCAGGATACGAACCCATGACAAAAGTTCCTCAGAACTAATGTACATCAAGAAGATCGAAAGGAGGCCAATGGTAGCGTGCCGAGCGGTGTTGGGCTGCCTTCGAGTGGGGCTAATAACATCATGTTGCAAGAATGCCCGTCATACCCTGTGACCCATGCTGGGTCACCATGCTGCACACTAGCTACTAGCTGTGTGCTCTTATCCAGGGTGGAGTTTTACTTAGTTGATTTATTATGCACCCTATACCCATCCTGTGGGTGGTAATGGAAAGGTTTACAGAGGCACATAATGGGCTCAGGGACTGAACCCCAATATTCATTTAACTAAGCAAGTTACGGTCTTGATAAGCTAATTATAAAATTTAATGTATCCTGTTACATCATCAATGGGTTCACGACCAACCATATACTGTATACAGTCCAGGGTTGAGCAAACGCATCCTGTGGCGAGCAGAGAAACTGAAGCCTCTGCTCGTCACACATGCATGTAGCTAGCTTCAGGGCCATACTTTATATAAACACTGTACATTACCCATGCACAGTATTTTTATAATACAAGCAAAAAAAGACCAAAGGGCGTTCTATGAACCCTTTTACTAACTTTACAGGTTAACAACCGCTTGAGGGTTATTAAAGCTACCACACTGGCTTCCTTACCAACCAGCAAATGTACTTTAGTTTTGAACATAGTCCAGGACTAAATATTAAGTAAATTCTCAAGTACATATACAGTACACACTTAAGTATACTGTATATATATTTGTGCCCTATAGTATAAGACAAGCCTCAGAAATTGCACTGCAGATTAAATATATAGCATAATCAATAATAAGACAATCTGTGTTTGTTGTTATTAAAAATATGTATATTTCCTAAATTTTCTTTAACCATTCATATATATTAGCTTACTTTTCATATAGCATTACCCAAAATAATTAAAACTCAAATCACCCATTATTTTAAGTTAGCAAACTTTTAATGGTAGAGTGGCAACTGTAACAGTCATTAAAGTGATACCGGCAAGATGGATCGTGTGATCATGTGACGCCTATTGACTGTCACAGCCAACCCATCCTCCTAGTAGAAAGTCACATTTTGACATACAGTCTACCTAAGGCCAAAAATTGTCTTACTGGAAAATGGAAGTGGCTCGCGAAAGTGACGTACTGTCCCATTTTCTGTTTTAGTTCCTCTGGTAGGTATTAGAATATGGGCACTTTAGTACGACAATTTCTTGATGTTGGGGAACCTTAGGAGGATGGACTGCTCTATCAGTACACTTCATCAGTTTCTACTCCATTTACATTGACTCTCTGCCTTTTATATTACCAACAATTTTATTTATTCTACTATTTTGCCATGCAGTAATAGCCTATCATGTGTGTTTTTTTGGCCTGGTCGTTCATGAGATACTAAAATAAACTGCTTCAGTGCATTGAATTTTGTAACTAACTCATCAAGACTAACTTGCTTAGCTAAATGAATTGTGAGGTTCAGTCCCAGAGCCCATTATGTGGCTCTAACTTTTTCCACTGCCGCCCACAGGATGGGTATAGGGTGCATAATAAATGAACTAAACTAAAACTCAGAGTTCATGAAAAAAAAAACATCAGGTGGGTATCCTTGATCTAGCCTGTCCTTTGAGCATTCCCAGCATCACTAAATTGATGTACTATGCCCCAACCCGTCCTCTTACAAAGCATAAATTTGCTCGCATATGCTTAGGCCAAATATCGATGTACAATGGTACCTCGACTTACGATTGCCCTGACTTATGATAATTTCGAGTTACAATGTAAATTTCATCGAAAAATGCGACTCGACATACGATGGTATCGTCGACTAACGATATTTGTTGGTACACGTTCGGGTCGACCGAGCGCATGATTCCCGGTCACGTGACCGACCTGCCTCAGTTTACTACAGCTGCCCGCTTAGTGACGATCGCGCCTATAAGAAATTCCGCTTTTGTGGCGATTTTTTGCATTTTGAACATTAAAGTAATTATGTATATATCATGCAATGAGTCCCAGGAAAGTCAGTGGTAAGGCTCAACATACAAAAACCCATGTAAGGATGACCATAGAGCAGAAACAAGAGATCATTCATAAATATGAAGATGGTGTGCGGGTTGTTGAACGTGCTAGGCAGTACAACAAATCTCAGTCAACGATATCCACCATACTGGCTAAGAAAATGGACATTATGAGTGCTAAAGTGGCAAAAGGCGTATCAATAATCACGAAACATAGAACACAAACACTTGAGGATGTTGAACAGTTATTAATTTGGATACACAGCAAAGAGTTAGCGGGTGATAGAGTTTCAGAGGCCATCATTTGTGAAAAGGCAAGAAAATTGCATGAAGACCTTTTAAAGAAAACCCCTGTAACGAGTGATGCAAATGCGAAAGAGTTTAAGGCGAGCAGGGGATGGTTTGAGAAATTTAGAAAAAGAAGTGGCATTCATAGTGTTGTGAGTGTTGTGTGTTGCGAGCTGGTGGAGGAACACAGCGAAGAACTGACCACTGAAGAACTTCACAAGGAGCAGCAACAAGAGACAGCTGAGGAAATTTCTTCACGGAGGAGGAGGAGACAGTACAGAATGTCTCTTCCTCATTAATTAAGAAAATGTGTGCAGCATGGGAAGAATTGCAAACTTTTGCTGAAACGACTCACCCAAATCACGGTGCAGTAGGCCGTTGCCTTAACCTTTTTAATGACACTGTGATGCCTCACTACAGACAAAAATTAAAACATATGGAAAAACAAAAATCTCTGAAAAGGATTTTAGTGAAACAAACAAGCAGTGAATCACAACCTGCATC